CATTTGCTGATAATGTGCCCATGGAATTCAGGATGGCCAAGGGGGTGTTGAAGGCATTATCTAATGCATGTAGTATGATATGCTTATTGTTTTAATTTAATATTTGGATATCTCAACTTGATCACAGAAAGTGAAGACCTGGACACTGTGGTATTTACATGGCATGCTTTTACATGGTCTTTCTTGTGTTTCAGAGACTGGTGGCTCATCATGCAGCTTTATATCTGGTCAGCAGTGTGCCTGGTGTTGGCCGGGCTGGTTTCGGGTGCTGAAAATAAAGGACCCAAAGTCACAGACAAGGTGATTTTTTGGTTCACTGTTGGGTATGGACACCCATCACATAAAGCAGTGTAATCAAAAGTGAAAATGCATTGTGCAATCATGAGGCTACTCAGAATGGCTTGTGGTAGCAGATGACATCATTGATGAAACATGCTGCAAGTTTGAGCTTGCGGAGCAGTATTTTGTTGTCAATGAGGGTAAGCTGCATGCTTATCTTTTTTGTAAGTATTGAAAGCTCTGCCAGCAAGCCAAATCTGATAAAAGCTTGAATCTGCCTTACCATAAACTGATCTGTGCTGTTTTTGTTTTTGTTGCCATGTAGTTGAGCATCAGAAACAGGTTGAAAATGCTGTCTTGGAGGTCAGAGTCTGTTGGTTAGCATATGTGTGTGTTTTCTGTGCTCAGGTGTGGTTCGACATCACCATCGGGGGCGAGAAGGCAGGCAGGATCGAGATTGGTCTCTTCGGCAAGACTGTGCCCAAGACGGTGAAGAACTTCGCCGAGCTGGCGACCAAGCCAGTTGGTGAGGGCTACAAGGGCAGCAAGTTCCACCGCGTCATCAGCGACTTCATGCTTCAGGGTGGTGACTTCACCAAGGGAGATGGTACCGGAGGTGAGCGTCACGCCGTCTGACCCTGTGACCTCACTGACGTACCTGGGTGGAGCGTGCGGAGGCCGTCTGCTGTGCCGTGGACTCGGGGGTCCTGTCCGGCGCCGTGGGTATATTACCGTGCTCCTATGATTATGGCCGCCAATTGATACGGAGCTGCTAAGTGGTACAAAGGCAGGCGGACAAGCGGGATTGTTGAGCTTAGGTCCGAAGCAAACTACATGCGCGCTGGTCCTTGGATCTATTGCTGTCCATCCCATGCCCAGTGCCCATATGTGATGTCATTTTGTCAGGACGGAGTATCTACGGCGAGAAGTTCGCCGATGAGAACTTCAAGCTGAAGCACTATGGTGCTGGCTGGCTGTCCATGGCCAACGCTGGCAAGGACACCAACGGCAGCCAGTTCTTCATCACCGTCAAGAAGACCTCCTGGCTGGACGGACGGCACGTGGTCTTCGGAAAAGTCCTGAAGGGAATGGTACGCTAATTTTTAGGCCTGATAATTTTGACTACGGGTATTGTTAGTTTTCAGGCGGTGCACGGTGCACATGCACATTGTGCTGGTGCATGCCGGGTGAAGTTCAAAGCTGATATTTCCTAAATTTATGCTGTATTTGCAGGAGCTAGTGTGTCGTGACTGGCAAATATCCCTGGGGTCACGGTGCCGGTCATGAACGCATCGAAGAACGGCCCAATTTAATCAGAAAAATTCCATTGTGAAATCAGGCTTGCCGCTGGTACAACCTAAACTACGAAGGACGCATGCACATGGTTCTCATGGAAGCGGTTCCTCTCGCCGTCGTCCTCGTTTTGAGCTTTCCAAACGTATTAACAGCTATCGGCGACCTGCCAATTCTGAATGAGGCGCGGCTTGGCTTGGGCTGTGTGGTGACGCGGGCGATGTTGACACCCAAACGCCGTCCGCTGTGCCGGCATCGGCTCGGGTGGCTGACGGACCAGGGCTGGGTCTGTAGTGGCCGCCGGGTCGGGTCTGTGGGTTGACGGGCTTGTTCGTGGTGTCTGACGGAGCAGGGGGCGTGTCTATGGTGGCTGCCGGGCCGGGTCTGTGGGTTAACGGGCTGGCCTGTGGTGGCTGACGGACCGGGGTGCCTGACGGAGCAGGGTCGGTTCGGTGGTGACTGATGGAGCATGGCTGGCTTGTGGTGGCTGCGGGGTCAGGTCTTTGCGTTGACGGGCTGGCCTGTGGTGGCTGACGGACCGGGGTGGCTGGAGCAGGGTCGGCTCGGTGGTGGCTGACGGAACAGGGCTGGCTTGTGGTAGCTGCGGGGTCGGGTCTGTGCGTTGACGGGCTGGCCTGTGGTGGCTGACAGACCGGGGCCGGCTCAGTGGTGACTGACTGACCAGGGCCGGGTCTGTGGTGGCTGCCGGGTCGGGTCTGTGGGTTGGCGGGCTGGCCTGTGTTGGCTGACGGACCGGGGTGCCTGACGGAGCAGGGTCGGCTTAGTGGTGACTGACGGACCATGGCCGGGTCTGTGGTGGCTAACCTGCCTGGCGTGCCGGCAGGACGTTGTGCGGAAGGTGGAGGCGGGCAAGACGGACGGCCGAGACCGTCCCGCCAAAGACGTGGTGATCGCCGACTGCGGCCATGAGACCATCGCCGAGGCAGACTACTTTTCTGTCACCAAGGAGGACGCCACTGAGTGAGCGCCGCCAACCGACGGGCCTCGACCGGGCGACCACCACCGGCCGCTGGCGGGGCGGGGGGGGGGGGGGGGGGGGGGGGGGGCGGCGGGCGCCACGCCTTCCCGACTGTGCAGTATCGCGGTGCTCAAAGCAAGGCTGGCTTTAGTCGGGGCGTGCGGTGTGTGCATTACTGGACATTTGTTCCGGATGAGATTGGCGGGCCAGTGATCTAAAGCCGCGGCGCCGGACAGGACCCATTTCGTGTGCTCCGGGCATTTGCGGCCGTTCCGAGAAGAATCGTTCCAGTTCTCATTCCATCCTCCGATGGTGCTCCTCGCAATGTGGACGTCAGTGTGGCTGAAAGCGTGAAATAAACGACATGATTTCGTCGATTGCTGTCCAAAATCACGATGCTCCATTTCACAACCGCGTGAACCGTGCGTGCATAGTTCGCAAGCAGCTTGCACCAATATGCCCTGTTCGGTCATCGGTGAGCCTTTTGGCCGACTCGTCCACCAACAGAGAATCGTTAACTGAGGTGCGCGTCCGGGTTTGTGCACATGGTAGATATGGGACGGTGCCATGCTTTAAGCTCCAGCAGATGCAGTCTGTGGGTGGATACGGCACCATGCCCACACCCAGCTCTTCATTGGCATACGACCAGCGTTGCGAAACTCATCCGGTAGGGTGTGCACGTCGGCCCCTCTCGCGGTTCGTTGGCGCTAATCCGTCGCTCTTTGACCCGATACCGGAACATCCGACGTGCCCGGCCCATTTGTCAAGCGTGATGCTGGGTTGGCCGCCGCCCTGTCTAATGATGATTGGTCGAATTCGTGTGAGGAGACGGGCGGCAGGCAGTGAACCCCAAGCGGGGGGTATAATAGCATGGCAAATATTGACATCGCAGGCACCCAAGTGGCTGGACATTGAAACACTGCACACGACTAAGTCCAGCTCGTCGAGGTAGTAGCATTGGGCGTCACACGCGTCCACTGGAGAACGCCTTTACTTCCAAAAACGGCCGCAAGCAGAATCAGCTGATTCAGCCCCATGGAGACATAGAGCGCAGGAATGACGCATTTGCATATTATTCGAAGGAACAATTATTGGCGAGTGATGTGGTTCAAGGAGTCATTGACGATCACACTATCCACATGCGATCGAGACCTGCCTGTTTGCTGGACATACAAGACCGTCAGCGGGTTATTACTCGACCGCTGCTTGCCGTTACTGTCAGCAACGACGACTTACTTGCGCAAATAAACTCACCTCGCCTCTTGGTTAGGTAGGAATGGGCTGGGGTCGCAATGTCAAAGGAAATAAGTGGGCTTACCCCGAAGAAGAGAACGATCTTTCAGTTACCCATGAGGAACGGGCTTCAAGTCGAGGGGCTTCATCGCTGTCCTCCGCTCCGGCCGGGTGCAAAAACACGGCTCGCGAATGGCAGTCATACGTCAGACTTGTTACATAACGCTGCCTGTTATCAGCACACGCGACGAGAATCGTGGGAATCTTATGCCTGCAAAATGGGCGGGCGTCAAGACAAGCATCCCGACTCTCCGAAACAGGCGGGAGGATGGCAGAAACGCGTGTCGAGTAACGGCGCGTTCTCAGTGTTGTGGAGAGGCGTTCACTGCATTGGGGAGGGGAAGCACAGTCGCATACGTATAGACTTTTTGCAAATATAGAATGCGGCTCGTGCCCGCCCACCCAGGGATGCGCTGACCGCCGACGAAATCGCAGGAATTCCGAGCGTCGGAACACTTGACCTGGCCGCCATTCGTTGGCGCAGTTACTACTGTCTGCGCAGGCACGTATGGAATAAGTGGGCCGTAATTTGCTGGTGGCTGCATTCTTGGGAGCTGTATTATACCTCCTCGACCCGTTCTTAACAAGGCGAAGTGATGGAGCGCAGTCGGGGCCCGTGATTACACCACGTGTTCGAATGATGCAGGGTGTGAAGAACGGTTCGACGCGTTAAGAACAGCTCTTAGCAAATTGCGTGCGTACATTACGTACCGATTTTCAAAAACATTAAGAACAGCTTTAAGTAAATTGCGTACGTGCATTGCATACCGAAGATTACAGAATGGCATGGTAATGTGCTGAGCTTCCGTTTTCGTATCTGTCTAAAATCCGGAACAATCGTGTCTAATTGTCTGCCTCAAAAGTGTGCGTATGGAGGAAGCAAGTGCGGTCGGGCGGTGTTCAGATAGATCAGTGCCACTCGCAGCCGGCCTCAGCTGCGGAACTAAGCACGGCTCTTGTCACGATGAACCCAGAAATAAGGGAGGGCTCTCGCCACGACGAATCCGGAAATAAGAGAGGGCCCTCGCCACGACGGCGGCAGCCTTCACTTCTCCCACAACTGGTTGAATACCCCTCACGCATGGGGAAAACACCACTTAACCGACATCCACGCAGCCAACTTCAACCTGCGGAACTACTGGTTAGATTTTCTTCAAGCCAGCACCAATCGAAAGGTAGTGTGTGGTTCCATTAGGCGTTCTGAAACTGCTGGCCCCGGGTCACCATCTTTACCTTCACAAACCACCTAAACCGCTTAAGGGCATTGCAGTCAAGTCCAAACTCGAAAACCGCTCAATTGATCTGACTGGAACCTTCACCAGATAGTAGAGGACATACGATTTCATCAGCCGTACTGAAATTGGTGATCTCAGATTTTCATCTTCCTCTTCAATACTTCCTCACAACAACATTGCTCGCGCCGAAGACCGGACCAAGGTGGACAAACTATGGAACATTGTCATGGCGATATTTTGCTATCTGTATTTTGGTATGTGTATTGTGCTTCTGTGCTGTTCTCAGTGTGAAAATTGAGAGGCTGAAAGAACAGAAATTGAACGAATATGCACCCTAAAAACGCAACCATTTTGAGGCACCGAAGCCAAGCCCACACTCGCAGGCTGCTCGGCTTGTCTCTTCGAAACTTTACCAGCAAAGAGCACATTGATGATCTCACTTGTGGTTCTGAAACTGCGGACCACATTCACCTTCAAAGACCGATAAAATTTGGCATTCGGATGGGCATCGTCCATAGCAGGGACCGTTTCACGGAGGTATGGGATTTTGAACCATTGAAGGTCATCTTGACGGGCATTCGGTCACAACTCTGCCCTTTTCTAAAACCCTCTAGTATCCTCCAATCTTCTTCCAAACCCCTCTAGTTGCCGAGCTTTACCCCTGTGAAGGTGTGCGGACTATTTTAAGGGAGATATTTCAAGGTCACCCATGCACCTATGACGCAATGATCATGTCATTCAAGTTCAGGCATGATTTAACCATGCGGCAATCAAGGTCAAGACAGATATAACTGACGAGTAGTTCATATCCGGCGTTCGCGAGCAATATTTTTTGCGACAGCCGTCAATTGGCCCTCAAGCAATGTTGTGCAAGGCACGGTGACGTAATGAAACAATGATGTATTGAGGAGAATATCTATCATCCTGAGAGATTGTTTTTTTTCTACAGCAGTTTTTCACTTGGCGTGTAATCATTGTTATAAGTGAGCTTATTTCATCATATTTCATGCATGCTTCAATTCTTCAGGTGTGAAACATTCCCATGAAGACGTGGTACGTCACGGGTGCTGCTGCCAAAACGCGTGTGTATAGCTTACGTTGCTTCACGTTGTATTGACGACGCAGCTCCACTCTTCGAGCTCCAGCTTCTCCAGCCCCACGACACTCTTCCAGCAACGTGACCCTCCACCGTCGGCTATGGGTGCATGCCCCCTAACCGGGGGTCATACGGCAGCCTTTTGGCGGGCACTACGAATTCAGCATCCTGAGTGGTTTAAGGGCTTTGTGTCGTAAGAACCAGGCTTTCAAGATTTGTAGCTGTTCAACCGGGTTGTTCATGATGGGTAAGTTTGGCGTGTTTGATATGGTTCGTTAGAAGAAGGACTTGCAACAGAAGGGCATGAGTGCTTGAATGAGGTATCAAATGCCATCAAGGTGGTATCTCCCTTTTCACCTGGGTGGATATCCCTCCTACCCCCCCCCCCCCCCCCCGCCCTCCACAGCAGCCTCCATTACCAGTATCTACGCATTGTGAACAACAGGCCCCACAAATGGTTATAGGTACAGTAGCTAGCGCATAAATAAGCTATCCATGTTGGCGTGCCTCAGTGGCTTAATCTGCCACATCGTTGAGACGTTACGTGATTTCGTTATGTACCAGCAGCCCGAAGTGGGCAGAGGTTATGACCGCCGAGGATCGTACACAGGCCATAGATCCTATGAACATCTGACTACAGCGGCAGGTGACGAAATCAGCTTATATCAACGCAGAATAAGGCGCGATCAGTTTTTCAACCAAGCACCGAGGCCGTTATGCACCAAAATTAGTGAGTCACCGACAATCCCACCTTCGGTAGGGAGAAAGCCACATCAACGACCCCTCAAATATAAGACTCCAGTTTACCATAACTTAGAACCATTCTTCATAGTTGCAAGCTCTCCTAAAGCAAAGAAATGTATATCTTGCAATGGAAAAATTGACTGGAGAGCGTTTCGCGAGCCTCACGACATCGTCCTGCCTCATAATGAGCGATGGGAGTTTCCAAAAAGTTGTTGGAGATGTGGTGGTAAAAGTAGCAGTTGTTAAAAAGATGACTAGGATGTTTTATCATATTACGAAGGCATGTGTTGCGTCGCGGTTTCCCGATCTCATAGGCAAACGTGATTTTATACGAGATGACGCGTTTGTGCTTCCAGTGCTAACAAGCGTACATAAAGAACACATCCTGGAAATGTTGGGAGTCAGAGTTTAACTGTGTGTGTGTGTGTGTGTGTGTGTGTGTGTGTGTGTGTGTGTGTGTGTGTGTGTGTGTGTGTGTGTGTGTGTGTGTGTGTGTGTGTGTGTGTGTGTGTGTGTTTTGGGTGTTTTCACACAAACACCAAAGCACACTGGGTTGTTCGGGCCTATTTATTGGGTCTTGGTGTTTGAATTTAGGCCCTACACTCCTGTTTGGGCAACCTGATAATCTGCTCGGATATACTCCATCTTTCGGGCGCCCTCCGCACTGGGTTTTGGCTACTTCTTATTTCGATGGAGGGCCTTACGCTCTCGTCGGGCTCCTTCTGATGTGTTTACCATTCGAATCGAGGGTCCTACGCTCAGATAAGATCGATCAGGTTGTCCACGGATTTTTCTCATTCGCCCGAAAGGCTCTTCACGTTTTTTTCCGGGGTGCTATATGCCAGAGTACACTCAGCTACTCAGGATTCCTTCATATAAGTCTCGGATTCTCTCCACTTGCTTGGAGGGCCTTGTGCTGTTGCTAGGGCTGTTATAAGGTGACGCACGGAGACATCTGATGCTCAGTGGCCCTCGATTCTGATCGAGGGCTCTCCCTTTGGTCTCATTTGCGGAGGACTCTTCGCTCCTATCGAGGGTCATGTTGTTAACCTGCCCGTACACTGTTGATTGCACAGGGGTATTGATTCATGACCTTGGATAATTTCCCTATGCTCGGAGCATCCTGTGCTATGGCCGGGGCCTTATATGTCAGGCTACCGGAGCACTACCGATCGTTTAGGGGCCCATCACGTTGGCCTTGGGTTCGCTTTGCTTGCCCTGAAGGCCCTATTGCTGTTGACAGGAACCACTTTGTTGGCCTCCTGCGGCACCCATGCTCGCTCAGTTTCCGTTCCTATTGGCCTCGGTGCATTTGTCTTAGAGCGGCAGTCGAATATGCGCCGATGAATTTTTACGCGTGATTGTCGCACATAATTTTACATGCCGCCGGCGTCGTATGTGTCATTTCCATTGGCTATCAAGTGTGTAACACTTTTTATAATAGTGTATCATGTTCTTAACATATTTTGAATGCTTGGATATGTTGCGCCCTTTTACAACGAAGAATAAAATTGCATTAGTCATCAGCCATCAGCTGATTACATCGCCCAACCGGCTAACGGTAAATACATAAGCTAGGAATCAAGTCCATGCATGGCTTTAATGGTTGTTAGCAGCCAATTCAAGTTTATTTTGCCTGTTGTTCCAAAACACTTAGCCTCAAAATCATAGCATTTAAAACGATCTGTAGAAAATGAGTGAGCTCTGTGTGCATGTATGCGTAGCACGCTTTTGCTTTATAAGTCTGTGCACAGTAAGATGAATTTCCGTATTTATGAAGTATATGAAGAAGTTAACACATATATACATATATATATATATATATATATATATATATATATATATATATACACACACACACACATATATATATATATATATATATATATATATATATATATATATATATATATATATATATATATATGCATGTATGTATTAACTTCTTCATATATTTCATAAATACGGAAATTCATCTTACTGTGCACAGACCTATAAAGCATAGGCGTGCTACGCATACATACACAGCTCACTCATTTTCTACAGATCGTTTTAAATGTTATGATTTTGAGGCTAAGTGTTTTGGAACAACAGGCAAAATAAACTTGAATTGGCTGCTAATAACCATTGAAGCCATATACCATAACCGCAAAGCCAATAACTATATTTCATAAATATGTATATATATACATGTATATGCATATGTATATGTTGTTTGTTGTTCATTGGAGTTTTCGGGCACGTCGACTGCAGTGGTCATTGCATATGTATATGTATATATATACATATATATATATATATATATATATATATATATATATATATATATCGCAAACAACTTGTCTTGAAATGTAATGACCGAGGTGCAAGGATATTTTTGGGAGCGGGCCCCAAACTCCAGGGGCCCCACAATGTTGCGTGCCCCCATCTTTTAACGAAATCCTGCATTCGCCCCTGAGCATTTGCAAAAACACCAGCACCAGGCGTAGCAGTCTCCGTATGCCGCGCTGCGTCAGCCCACGTTGTTGATACCAGGCGGCGGCCAACGAGCAAGCAAAATCGACTATGTATCGGAAAGCAGCACTTTGGAACGCCTAAAAAGTCAGCTTCCGCATGTGGACGGTTGTCTGAGTCTGTAATTTTGCCTCAGGAATTTTCATATCGATTCTCAGAACGGATTATTATTTACAGCATTACGAACGCTTCACGTGGTGGTAAAATATCTATCATTCGTGTATCTGGGTTTGCTAATCCTATCAGAAGATCAACATGAAAATGGTGTGTGCTAAATATACGGCCCAATATAACATTTAAACAGTGCCAGTTTAACCCATATGACTTTTGGGGCATGATTTTCTACCACATCTTTCGCATTCTCTCGCACCGGCCGCCCGCTGCTTGGTCTTGGTGTTACGGCCACCGACGCCGCATAGCCAGCTGTACCGGTGTCTTTGTTGCTTGAGAGTGAGGCGCGAGCATGCTTTAGTGAATAGCAGATTATGTGTATATTTACACCACATTATTTTGAAAAAGAAAGGACATTTACAGGCAAACATGAATGAGTTAGCTACGTGAATAGAGAATTTTGGCCCCGTTTTGATTTTGAACACTAACGGGACCTTTTATCTATACGAGACCCTATATCCCGGACAGAGAGCACTGTGGATAGACCACTAAAGGCGACCAATCACCTAGCCAGTTAGGGGCGGAGCTGCCCGACACAACCCGTAGTTACTATTGGTTGCCAGTCGGACGACAAGGGGGAGGAGGAGGCAGCGGTAAAGCCCCCAGATAGACGCCTAAAGTACTCCGAGAGATTTACCATATTTGGTTCTGTTCACTGACTTGAAAGGCCTTCTGACCGGGGTAGTTGGCCCCGGATCGACGTAAGGGCGCTCGCGAACTCAAGAAGATCAGCTGCCGGCGGAAGGGTCCTTACAGTTGGTCTAGACACTCCAGTTCAGACTGTAAGGGCCCTGAATGCCATGGGCCAATGAGCTCTCTGTTGGGTGTTGAGCTCCCAGCCTGATGCAGTCCCTTAAATTGTCTCATTTGGAATATTTCGATTGCCATTTTGATGCGCATTTCCATCGACGGAGGGACAAGCCAACGTGAGAGGCCATACTGCGACATTCGGTCCAAATCCTTTCACTGTTCGACATATGCGCCCGTGGTCGACTCAGGGCGCTTTGCTGAGCCTGGTAGGCACTGTGGGCCGCTGACAGACGCGGATGCCCTTCATTGTTTCAGGGGTCCCATGACCAATGTAGGACGCCTTTTGTGATATTCGTGGGCCCAGTCATGATAAATGCTTGGGACATTGACTCCCAAGGCCTCGAGGAGACTTAGCCGACTGTTCAGTATTGGTAGAATCAGTCAGACATAGACCTGCTCACTTCCCCCATGGTGTCCCTGATCGGCGTTATGGGCCAGCTGCCCACGCGACACCACACGCCACCTCGCGCTCCTCGCTGAGATGTTCAGGCCCTCAAAAGTTCAACCTATTGATACCGCAACTAGATGGCGCGCTGTGCCACGGCAACTCCCACCGTTTGCTCTCGGGGCCCCAACTGTGCGTGGCGAAAGTGGTGGCGGCTCAGGCGTGGTGAGGGGCGCGCGGCACCAGGAGGGTGGAGGCGCAGTGTCGCGAGGTGCGTCTGGAAGGCCTGAGAGGCAGCTCCCACCGTCGCTGTCCAGGGATGCGGTTGCGCTGTGTGTCGTCTGCCAGACTGGGACCGCGCCGTGCTCGGCTGGGCTGCTGACCTTCACGTCGGCGTCCGCCCGCGCCGCCGACTCTGTCGTGCGTATCACGCCAGGCGACGCGATGCCGCGCAAGCTGCTCAAGTTCCTGATTTTGTTCGACAACGCGAACCTGCTGTACTTCCCGGGCCAGTTCGTCAGCGGCCGGGTTCTCGTCGAGCTGGAGGATGAGACGCCAGTGCAAGGTGAGAACGCGCCGCCGCGGCCGTGCAGCGCGTGGTGGGAGCGCAGCGCACTGGAGGCTGGAGCACTGGAGTGCCCTAGCCGGGAGCTCAGGCCACTGGAGGCTGGAGCAGTGGAGTGCCCTGGCCGGGAGCGTGGAGGCTGGGGCACTGGAGTGCACTGACCGGGAGCGTGGAGGCTGGGGCACTAGAGTGCACTGGCCGGGAGCGCAGGGCGGTGCAGTCGAACGGCGGCGGCAGGGACGGAGACGGCTCGCCAGCTGTTAAGCACGTTGGTTGAGATAAATGTGATATTAGCCATACGCGTTTCATCGGGGAACTAATCCAAACATGCGCAACAGAGGTTTTCAATTTTTTCCGGGTCAATGCGTAGGTCTGAAGGTGCCGCAGCGTTTCACTCTCGCTGGGAAGAAAAGTGTAGTTGTGATGCTGATGATGTTGGCGAGCCAGGCGATGGCCTGTACGCGAAAGTTTGGCGCCCACTACAGATCTGCATCCTCGTGAAAGTAAATATTTGAGAGGCCTGGCGCCATTCAGTCAAAGCATTCATCATGACCAGCATACCAGGGACTACAGACCTTTACGGACACGTGCTACCTGGCTTGGGCAGCAGCCCGTCTTGGCCAGTTGGCCTGGCCATGCTCGCTTCAATGTCATTAATGATCAGTCCGGCCCTTCCGTGCTATCCCTATTCACATTTTTACAGTAACTTAGGTTGACGTGATGAAAACAACGAAAAAAACGGTTCAGACCTTGGCCTACCCTTTTAGCTTTGGTAAACGTCTATATCGTGCAGCTGTAGGTAATAATGAATTAAGTCAAGGCAGCCACTGATATATTTTATCATTTCTTAAAGCCTTTGCCTACAGTTTCGAAAGTCGCCACAGATGCCGCTTTCCTTACTCGAAGTGTTTGCAGAAGATATGAATGCCTTAACGCATGATGTATTCTGCGTAGAATGCATGGAATTTCCCATTTCGTGAATCACTTTACCATAGCCCTCCCAATCCCCCAAGCCATCAAATTAAGAAGGCCTTCCTTCACTGCCAACAGCCAAATGAAGAAACACGTCCCTATCTCAAGGAGAAGGGTTCAGCGCCGCAAAGCACGTCACTGCATGGATAAATAACTTTTGTGGGATTATTTCAATGCACTTTCGGCTCTTTGTCTACCATGTCTGACCTAATGCTGGATTAGCTGTAGAGATTTTCTACATTTCATATACTGCAAATTTTCCTTGCGTCTTTCATATGCTATCACAGGTCAAACATGAGATAAAGGGCGTCACGGACTGTAGCCTTGCGTCTGCGTGAGGAGTTTGTCACAGTAAATGCAATTTCTACCAGTTTCGATTATAAAGTTCGATCACGCCTATTGTCACCTCGAAAACTTTGCACTTAGCACTTGTCTTTCGCCAATTTGGCTCAGAACTCTGAAATCAGTAAATGATGTACCACCAAATCGTATGATACCATCTTAATCTGTTGAAATAAAAAGAACTTTGCTAGTCGCACTTACCACTCCCATTCCTCTACACCACTCGCAACCAGTTGGGATCACCTATCTGGAGACGACAAAGGATGCATCAAGAAACAGGAAACAGGACGTCGCCTTTTTGCGGAAGTGTTCGTATCCCTGCAAGGGGACGGGTCAGCGCAAACCGGTCCAGTCTGGCGCCAGCTGCGGCCGCCGCGCCGGCGCGCGCACGGGAAATACCTCTCTCCCGCCTGGCCTTGAGCTGACGAGGCCGGTCTGGCAGACGCGTGTCCGGCAGTCAGGCCGACACTGATGCGTGTGCTGAGACTGATGTCGGAGCTGTCGGCGGACCTGTCGGACCGAGGCTGGTGTCGGGGCTGACCGTCTGGCTGAGATGCTTGTCGGACCTGTCGGACCGAGGCTGGTGTCGGCCCTGTCGGACCGAGGCTGGTGTCGGGACTGTCCAACCGAGGCTGGTGTCGGGGCTGTCGGACCGAGGCCGGTGTCAGACCTGTCAGGCTGACGCTGGTGTCAGGACTGTCAAACTGAGGCTGGTGTCGGGGCTGCCAAACTGAGGCTGGTGTCAGACCTGTCAAACCGATCGGACCTATCGGACTGAGCCTGGTGTCGGGACTGTCCAACCGAGACTGGTGTCGGGGCTGTCGGACCGAGGCCGGTGTCAGACCTGTTCGACTGACGCTGGTGTCGGGACTGTCAAACTGAGGCTGGTGTTGGGGCTGCCAAACCGAGGCTGCTGTCGGACCTGTCGGACCGAGGCTGGTGTCGGGACCGCCATGTTGAATTACCGCATTCCAGGGATTTCCGCAGTTCCCACCAAGCGCGGCGAGCCCCGATTACCTAGGCCATGGCTGTCTGAAGCGTCATTTGTGGCGACGGCTCCCGTCACCTCTCCATGTTGCTTTCACCGAAAACCGAATCCTTCAGCTCCTGGGAGGTCGAGCTGGGTCACCACCCATCGGAGCAGGAGGAACAAAAACAGCAGCAGCTTCTACAGCACATGCGGCACATGCGGCACATGTATCACACGCAGCTTTGCAGCTGTCGAATCCTGCCTCAAAAGCGAAGTGTTCTCAAATCGTCACCTGGCCGAACGTCAATGTTTTGCCGTGTTTCTTATTCATAGCTACATAATGTGTATATGTGTAGGCAAATTTTTAGTCTGTGTGTGTATCTAGTCGCGCGGCCACAGCCTTGGCAATTGGGGCACATGGTTGACAAAGGGCCCCTGATACTGAACGGCGCCCAAATTGCCAAATTTTGCCCATTCGAAGGCGTGCTTTTTTATATTTTTTCATTTGTTGCCTTCCTTCACTTGAAAAGAAACCTGGAGCTACCGCGATATAAAGTCTGACTGAGTGTCATTGTCAATAAACTGAAAAATCATGTGTTCAACCATTGCACGAAATAAACCACCAGCGCCCTCCATCTTACAATGGCCTAGTGGACTCTTTCCATGGCGACAGAACTCAGAAGCTTCTTCATAATATTTATCTGGGTTCTACAGAGATATCAGGGTCCCGTGAATGTAGACTGTTGGTCAAAATGTTAGGCCATGTCATCATGTCACATATTTACCACGAATCGTTCCATATGTATGGCTTAATGATGATGTAAAACGGGTCAGCAATTTCTGTTAACTTTCCAAGCCATGTTTGCCTGGAAATGTTCAACATACAGTCAGAATCAACTGGTGATGCAAATTATGTACATAGTTTTAAACATGCGTGCTCGCAAATTTTAGTAACAAAAACCTCGACGCCAGGCACTGCGGTCTTCGTGAGCCGCGCAGCGTCAGCCCCGCGGATAACACGTGGCCAATGGGCGGACGAAACTGATATGCATCTAAAACAGGAAATTTGAACGCTTTAGGAAATCAAATCGTACATTCAGAGAGTAGTCCTGGCGTATGTTTCACCGGCGCGATTTTTAGATTGATGTTAAAACGGACTGGCATTTACAGCACCGCGAGATGGTGCTGGCTGGAATCTGGTGGTGAAACTGCGAGGGTAAAGGTAGAATCTCTATCTGTCGTGTTGATGAAGCTGTTAGTTTGTCCAGAGGGCAACCTCAACATTTTAAAAGGTACCCCAGTGTTTTTTTGAACGAATTAATTTTGAAAGACATTTGGACATTACAGGCAAAGACAGACATTGTGTCACGAGTCTTTCCCGCGCGGAGCGGGTGGTGCTATCTACAGTGGCTGACGCCGTTCAGTTTTACGGAAACTGCAACCCGGACAATCGCTACTCTTGCTCCTGAGATTTCGGGCGCGCAGGTCCAAACCTTTTGATGTAATTTGTTTCACTAATCCATTCTGCAAGAGGCTGAACGTTCTCAGGCCAACATGACATGGCCTCGTTTGTTTAAAAACTGATTTCGATTCACTCTTTTCAACGCTAATGAAACCCCTTTTTTCGTGTAAGGGCTTCTCTTGAGTAGAACACTAAGGGGCATACTAGAACATAAGAACACTTACTTTTTCCGGTTAGGAGCCGAACGTCCATTTCGTTCCACCGCAGAGTGTCTTACGGCTGCCTTTCTGGTGTCACGAAGCGGAATCCCCTGGTCCTTAGGCCCTTAGAGGGATACATCATAGCACATTGGTCTCTTCCTGCCGTAGGAGGCCTTCTGACACGCACAGTTGGCCCTGGATCGACGCAGAAACCCTCATTGACGCAAAACATCCCTCATCCCTGCAAGTGGTGCAATAATTGGCGCATAGACTCCAGTTCGGCCTAACGGGCCCATACTGGAATTGGGCTTGAGGGCCTGCCATAGGGTACTGAGGGTCCTGACTGACACATGACCCTTCCGTTCTCTCACCGTGAACACTCGTCATAAGTTATCTTGCCCCTTTCATTGTTAGAGGCCCCCAACCAACGCGAGACGTCCTATGCCATTCGGGTCCTTTATCCGCCCTGTTAAGCAAATGCCCCTCTGACCGACTCGAGGCCCCCTGTTGACACAGAGCACCCTGTTAAGCACTGGGCCCCTGGCCGACACAGGAGCCCCGCATTATTGCAGGGGTCCGACCAATGCAAATCGCGGGCCCGGCCTCGTCCCTGCTTGAGAAATGGGGCCCGGGAGCTCAGACCGACACGGAATCGACTGTTCGGTTTTGGTGATCTTTTGCCGAAATAAATAAACGTTTTGACTCAGGGGTCCCCAATCGGTACAAGAGACCCTTTTACTGAAATTTGAGATCACGGTCCTACGGGCGGGGGCATTGAATGTGACCCTTTGGGCCCTTCAGCCTTCCAATCGGGCCCTTGATCTTTGGTCCCGAGGGCCTTTCGTTCCCTCTACGGAACACCTTAAACAAAGATTGTGACCGACTTGGGACCACAAGTTGACATACGACCCCTGTTAGGCGCTGGGGCCTCTGACCGGCACAGGGTCCCAACCATTGTTTCAGGGACCTAGACGAATGCAAGCCGTGGCCCCCGGTCTTGATCCTTCCTGGGAGAGGGTCCCCAGGGTTTAGGTTGACAGGGAATCAACTGCTTCGTTCTCGTGATCTCTGGCTGACCGAGATACCTGTGTTGTCTCAGGGGTTCTCAAACAGTGCAAGAGGATCTCTGACTTATATTTTGGGTCACTGCCCTACGGACCGCTATTCTTTAAGTGACCGACAGCCAGCCCTTCGGGCCCATATGCCCACCAATCGAGCCCTTGATAGTCGGTTCTGCTGGACCTCCCGGGCCCCCCTCCGGGTCTCATAGAACTCTACCCTTGGCCGGCTCGGGGCCCCTTGCGAACACAGGACCTTCTGCTGGGCACTGCGGGCCCCTGTTATATCTATCGCCGTCCTGCCCCGACCAGTGTAAATCCCTGGCCCCAGCTTTGTAGCTGATTGGAAAGTGGGCCAGCAGGCCCACATCGACACAGAGCTAACTGTTCGGTACTGGTGGTGCATGACCAACATATAGGCCCATGTCAACTCAGGGGTCCCCGATCGTCGCAAAGAATCCTCAAAACCTAAGCGGGGGGGGGGGGGGGGGCGGTACGTGCTCCTTTGCCCCCCCCCCTGCCTGCGCTACCGTGTGTATCGTGCATTTATGGTTTTTACAACTGGCCTGCTTCCGCAATTGAACCTTTGCCGGCGGATTGCTTACGCCTTAAATAGACAGATAAACTATGTAAGAGCGGAGTTATAGGATGGGTTTACCATTAATGAGCTCTGTCAGCCAACGTAGGGTAATTCATAGTCGCGTTCCTCTCGTCTTTTCCAGTCGACTTTCGTTAGCGTTCACAGAGTGCGCGATTGTTTACGGTCCGGCTGGTACCTTTCTCCACGCTCTGTAACAGAACTGCGTGACCAGTTTGTTCGCCGGAATGTCCTGTTAGCCGCGTCAGTTCGTGCGCCGCCCAAACGTATTCCCAGCAGTGTTCTGTTAACTGGGGCGACCGATGGGTGGCACGGGTGTATTCGTGACCCCACTGGCTGTGGCTGGCGCGTTTACAAGCACGCTGGCGGTTCCGCTCCGACTTTTTGTGCGTCGCCTCTCCTCACGTGAGCCGCACAACTGCGACCCCATCCTTCGAGAGCTAGGCCCATCCAGTGGCCGCGGGCCGGTCGGCGCACTCTCCGACCAGACAATGCGGACTGGTCGTCATGAGGCCGCGACAGCCGCACATGACCGCCGGCGGCCAGGAGGTGACCCCGGCGTGACCTGGCCGGTCCTCTCGCGTGTCGAGCGGCGGCCGCGCTGGCTCCCACATCCGCTCAGCCGCGCCCCACGGCCCTCAACAATAGCGCTCGGCGTGCCTGAGTTTTTGAAGTTGGTTTGGTGACCTGGATAGATGTCTCACAAAATAGCCGAATTCGGACAAACGGTCCTTGTTTAGTGCATTCTGGTACGATTGCGAAAGTGTCACTGAATCTTTGTTTGCTTCTCAGCGACTGAGCTAAAAAATGCAATTATTAGAGATGTTTTAGCACAAGGAACTTAAGTGGCTACCACATGATTTAAACGAGAATGTCGAAGGCTTGCATGGATCAAGTGGCCGCCTGTTTGCATACCTATTAGCACGCCTATCGCCGTTTTTCCATACAGTTCATACCAAACCTTCCGTGCAGTTCTCATACAGATCGCTCCCATCCCAATACGGTCCATTTGTTAGCCGTGACAATGACTTCACCTTTTTCCCACCGAGCCATTATAACTGAGAATAACGAGGCCTTTTAGCCGTACCAAACACCTCTCCAAATCATCCCGGTAACATGAACGACGCACATAACAGTACCCAGCGCCTCCAACGCCCCTATATAAAGCCAGCCGGGCTGTGCCGCAGACCGCCCGCACGAGCTGGCGTCGGGCCGGGCCACGACCGACGATACCGTGAGGCCGGCCGGTCCCAAGACCTGCCGGCCGGGCCCAGGACCTGTCAGTCGGTCCCAGGACATGCCGGCCAGTCCCAGGGCATGCCGGCCGGTCCCAGGACATGCCGGCCGGTCCCAGGGCATGCCGGCCGGTCCCAGGACATGCCGGTCGGCCTGAGGAATGGCCGCGCCCCGTCGCCGCCCGGCCGCCGCCGGCTGCCCCGGCTCCCATCCATCACGGCCGCCAATCTCACCAATGGATGAGCGATGTCGCGCGACGGCGCCGCGCGTGTTCCCCGGCGTTTTGACAAAAGCCTGATGGATGAAAATGGCCGTCAATTGGTCATTCGTGAGGAGCGTTGAGAGAAATAATTTTTAAGAGGTTCGTTCATCACGAGAACTCTCTTCTGTTCGTCACTTTAATTGAGCGGAACGGTCCATATTCAAGAAGCTCTCGTGGAAGTGCTGGAAGAACTGAAAATTCACTAATGGGCTCCAACGACTGTGTGCTGAGCGAATAATTAGTGTACCTGGTCATGCTAGTCGTAACAAGCAAATGACTAGCAACATTAACGTTTAAAATTGCATACCTACGTGCCTAGAAACCCGTTTATTACATCAACTTGTGTTCTTTTTCAGGAGTTTTCTTCCACGTGGTGGGCGAAGGTACTGTCAAAGTTAGTGACAACCAGAACCAGAGGCACACCGACAAGGAAAACTACATCGACTTCAAAATGAGGCTTCTCGGCGAGCACGGTAAGTAAGACAAACTAAGCGAAACTGAGCTGAGCACGGGTATGATCTGAGACTATGGCCGGGGAAGCCGGGGGCCAGGAGAGCGGCCGCCCCGGTCCTCGGGCTGGTTTCGTCACACGGGGCCGCTCACAGCAGTGTGACATCACTGCAGAACCACGTGCTGGCGTAACGCCACGCCTGAGGCGGGCCGTGACACGACGTCACGTCACGACCGGCCACGTCACGACCGGCGGCCACGTGACTCGACGTCACGTCACGCAGAGGCACGCTGGGCTCGGCTCGGGTTGTGCTTCCCTTTGTCAGCGAGCCCATCGCCTGCTGCACGTGGTTTGCGCTTCCATTAACGCAAGCTGCGGATGCAGTGTCACTGAATTGCAAAGCCTGAACAAAATATGCAATTTTCTTACATCATGTAGTTTAGTGAAAAACGATATGAAAGCGTCAAAGGCGTAGATGGCCATGTAGATATGCATACATGTAGATAGCCAGTTCTTCCCAGTTTGGAAGAGGATTTAAAGATAGTTAAAGTGAGCATAGGACCACAAATTTTACGCAGTGGAAGTACATAATATGCCAATCAAACTGCAATACGAGCATTCGTAAAAAGTAACAAATTTGATAACTGGGATGCAGCCTACACTTAAGCGATAGAAATATTATGTTGGGTCCCGACTTTAATGACAATTATGAAATACTGCACAAAATTAAGACAAACTAGATGACCACGTGTTTGCGTCGCGTTAAACGAGCCATTCAAATAAAAACGAATACAAATGGTAGGTGTGGCGCGACTGGATCGTTACTTTTCGTACGGATTCTTTTATCGTATTCACCCCATTCGGTAAGATGGTGAAAGCACTTGGCGTGAAGCGGAAGAGCAGTATCTCGCGGCCAGACGCCGGGCCGAGGTATTTGGTACTCGGTGTCGCAGCGACAGTGTGTCGGTGTCGCAGCGACGGTGTGCCGATGTCGTTGAAACGCTGGACGTGCCTTTTCACTAGATCCCGGTCGATATACCACCGAATCTCCACCCAGTCAACTCCAATAAAGCACAAACTTGTTGACGCATTGATCTGTCTTATCCCTATTGGTTGCAAGACGTGTCTGCTCAGAAGTCCAAATTTTTGTGGTCATAACTGACAGCTCTCCGTAAGCTATCCCCCGTCTGGTTGCGTGCCCCGCGGGATGTGCAGTTGGTTCCAGGACTTGCCCATGGACCACCTATTCGGTGGCATTCTTCACATTTACCGCCGTTCTCGGATGAACTATGTGAATGTCTTTATAAATTCAAACGTTTAAGTTTGGAGTCGTATCTAGGATTATCTCCCTAAGCTTTGCAACTGTTTAAATTTGTCAGAACTTAAAACGATTTTTCTTGGTAGACAGTAAGTGTGGAGGCTTCACCACCGACTGCACAGTAAAGGCTGTATGATTCACCACTCTCGCTCTGATCTGGTGAATGTCAAATTTGACCTCACCCAGTATACTGTCTTGTACCAGACTTGAACAGGACCGAAATCTAGGTCGGCGTCGAAGTTGATCGCGAAATTCTGCTGACACGCAGGGTATAAAAAGATAATGAATACAACATGGGATGCCATGTGTTTGGTGTTGTTCTCAAAATGCTGCGATTAGTGGAAAGATACTTTGTCACACAAAGTCATGACTTCCATGACGAGGCATTCAAATAAAAGATAGATTAAAAAACTCCAATTAGCCACTCTCCGGGAAACTTGAAATGCCTTGTTCGCCCCGCGCGGAGCCTGGTTCAATAGTCAGCAGGTTTTAATGCTCCCCACGTGTCTGGGCAGACTCTTGAGTCTGGTTCGACCGTGCAGTAGCCTGACATCTTCCCGGCCGCATCTTTCCTGTCATACGCCGTTCATGTCGGCTATGTGCCAATGGGCATGATAGTGGGATCCTGCCGAAGGTTGTCTGTATGGGGCAGTGGGCAGGGAGTTATTGGAGCTTCCTCCGTGCTAGTAAGCAGTCTTTGCTCCTGTCCTCGCGCCGACACGCCGGCTACTCGTACTCCGCGTGGCTGAGGACCGTATCATGAGAATCGCGCGGCACCGTGTCCTTTCTTTTGGCCCTGGATATGGCGCAAACGTCGCATGTCGACGTCTCTCCCATTCTTGCCGTCAATCACCGTCCTCGCTGGTCCACAACGGCGACACATTTATTCCGTGATTCATGCAATCACTATACAATGACCCATCTTTCATGACGTATGATTACGTAGATAGTCAAGGAGATGCTTGCTGAATATTGATTGAAATGAAGTTTCATTGACTCAATAGAACAGATATTTGTTTCTCTACGCATCTCTGAAAAATACAGGCAGCCATTTAATCAATACCCTGAAATATGGCTTGAAGTAGTTGTTTGTTTTAACAGGCATAAATATACCTGCCATGCCATGGCCATGATGTCTATCATGTGACAACCTCTTCGGTGACTCATGCTCCACAATTCCATGGCGCCATGGCTCATACCCGGCCGGCCGTTTTCGCCTCGTTCGCGCTCTCTCCCGAGCCCGCGCTGGCCAACTAGAGCGCCGACACGCCGACAAACAACCGGCCGATGCGCCGACGACAAACAACAACCAAGCGCCGGCGGAGCACCGGTGGCGCATCCTAACATGTGTGCCGGTGATTCGGCCGTTTATTTGCGGCCCCGGCAGTGTCGGGCTCGTTTTTGTCCCGTTTATCACCGGGCCAGGTGGGTAAACTGATGATGGTGTCAGGTGATTACGTGAGCCGTGGGGTAGGTGCTGGCCGATAAGCTCACCGCGGTAAGAAACCACCATCCAGGTTGAAAAAGACATTATGCTGATAAGTCAGCGCCTGCTAAAATGCACAGCCTTACTGGGTTACCACGCGAAAAGTAGGCAATTACTTGAGTAAACATATGTAAATTTGGCTTTCAGAGACACAATCAAAGCTAAAGCGGAGAAGAATTAGCAAGGCACGCATGGAAATCTAAGCGCAGTAGGCCGGTTCGATCCAGTTTTTTTCTGGCATTTCAGTGCTCCCTGTGGATAGGCCGATGGCCTAGAGTAAAAAATAGAATGTGTTGTTTTTATTATACGTCATGCCTACGAACGCCGTGGCCAGGCCAGTGATCCTGTGTGGTCTGCACCCCGAAAAATACGCGCACAATCCCACAAACTCGGTCGTCTCCCACTGCGCACGTCCAACTGCTGTGGGGCTTGCAGGAATGAAGGCCGCGGAGTGTCGGTGTGTCGCCGCTCTTGGAGACGTCCGTTGGTCGTCCGTAACACCGCTGGGACCGGACCGGACGGCAGCCAGTCTGTGGTACGCGCAGTGGCGGAACATGCCCATGGGAGGTGCCATGCTCTGAATTTTGCGGGATCGTGAAGAGCAAATCGGCATCTCGAGAACAGGGATAGCCTCAACTGTCTGCTGATAGATCAATTAAAAAATGATGAAAGTCTGGAAGGAAATCCAGAAATACCGGCGGCGGCAGTAAGTATGGACTGGCATGGCAGACTGTAACGATAACGATCTTTTCACGAGGCGCCGCTCACAACGTCCGACTGCAGAACATCAGTAACATCGTTTGCATGCTGAAGCGAGGGCTTCCAAATGAAGGTCTCATGCTCAACTTTCAGTTGCGTATCCAGTGACACACCCAGTGACGTCACCCAGTACCCGGTGACGTCACACAACATGTGACGCAGCGTCAAGCGACGGCCAGGCGGACGCGCCACCCACAGTACACCGCGTCTGTCGTCGACGTTGGACGCCTCCGGGCATGCGGGTCCAGCGGCTCACATGCGACTGCGGGAAATGAGCCCGTATGTGAAGTCGTCAGAAGTCACGTTGATAATAGCGAATTGTTGGGTACTCCGGGTGATAAATCACGTGGTTTTGTGCGGGCGTACTGCGTCCCAGGACCTCGGCCGGCCGCATCTCACCATTAGGACAAACCGCACAGCTACATAACCGCAACTTGTTTGCCTCATAATTTGAAAATTGGTGTTTACTGATCAATTCATGAGCAAACGATGCTATTTCTTGTCGAATTCGAGGACATCTGAAAGTTTCTACCGCCAGCTCAGGCTGGAACAGACCTTGTGCATCAGTCTGATGCCCCGGTAGATACATGTGGAGATACACTCCACATGTTCCAGCTCCAGAGTGAACGATGTCAGGCGCAAGCAACCAACCTGTCAGGTGCGGGCGGCCAACTTGTACAGTCACACTCCGTCTTCTTAGTTTATAAAGGAGCGCGGGACCAAAATTTGAATTTATCCACATTCTAATATAGCCAAAGGCTCACTACCACCAAACAATACACAATTCTCTGCGTTAAAGCCTACATCTCAATCGGTGCTACGTCAGCCTATACCGAGGCAGCCACGAATGGGCCCAAAGGCGACAATGGTCAAGCCCAGTGGCGGCCACCGCCGTGACCACGGCGGCCGGCGCTCCACGGTGCTCCGGGGTTCCCCGGTACAGGGCCGCCCCTCGCCCGCGCCAGGCGGGGCGGCGCCACGCGTCCTCGGTCGGCCGGACTGCAGACTCGGCACAGCCGACCCCATTCCGGCCCGGCTGCGGCGCGGTGCGCCACGTTAGCCGCGGAGCGCACGGCGGTTCATCACCACAGCGCCATTGTCTCCCGGGCCCTCACAGCTGTGTCGAATCTAGGTCTGGAGGAAGCACGGGCCGGCGAGAGCGCTGTCCCCGGTTCGCCGCCGGCTGGGGACGTCTGTCGCCGGCTGGGGACGTCTGTCGCCGGCTGGGGACGTCTGCCGCCGGCTGGGGACGTCTGTCGCCGGCTGGAGACGTCTGCCGCCGGCTGGGGACGTCTGTCGCCGGCTGGGGACGTCTGTCGCCGGCTGGGGACGTCTGTCGCCGGCTGGGGACGTCTGTCGCCGGCTGGAGACGTCTGCCGCCGGCTGGGGACGTCTGTCGCCGGCTGGAGACGTCTGCCACAGGCTGGGGACGTCTGTCGCCGGCTGGAGACGTCTGCCACAGGCTGGGGATGTCTGCCGCCGGCTGGGGACGTCTGTCGCCGGCTGGGGACGTCTGCCGCCGGCTGGGGACGTCTGTCGCCGGCTGGGGACGTCTGCCGCCGGCTGGGGACGTCTGTCGCCGGCTAGGGATGTCTGCTGCCGGCTGGGGATGTCTGCCGCCGGCTGGGGACGTCTGTCGCCGGCTGGGGACGTCTGCCACAGGCTGGGGATGTCTGCCGCCGGCTGGGGATGTCTGCCGCCGGCTGGGGACGTCTGTCGCCGGCTGGGGACGTCTGCCGCCGGCTGGGGACGTCTGTCGCCGGCTAGGGACGTCTGTCACCGGCTGGAGACGTCTGCCACAGGCTGGGGATGTCTGCCGCCGGCTGGGGACGTCTGTCGCCGGCTGGGGACGTCTGTCGCTGGCTAGGGACGTCTGTCGCTGGCTAGGGACGTCTGCCACCGGCTGGGGACGTCCACGACAGGCAGCTAGACGCTCGGCCCGCCATTGGTCTGGGTAGCTGCACCCTCGGCCCGCCGCTGGTCTAGGCAGCTAGACCCTAAGCCCGCCGCTGGTCTAGGCAGCTCTACCCTAGGGCCACCGCTGGTCTCGGCAGCTGCACCCTCGGCCCGCCGCTGGTCTAGGCAGCTAGACCCTCGGCTCGCCGCTGGTCTGGGTAGCTGGGCGGTGGGCAAACCGCTGGTCTTGGTAGCTGCACCCTCGGCCCGCCGCTGGTCAAGGCAGCTAGACCCTATGCCAACCGCTGGTCTGGGTAGCTGCACCCTCGGCCCGCCGCTGGTCAAGGCAGCTAGACCCTATGCCAACCGCTGGTCTGGGTAGCTGCACCCTCGGCCCGCCGCTGGTCTGGGTAGCTGGACGCTCGGCCCACCGCTGGCTCCAGTCTCTGGTGCTGACGCCGTGGTGACGAGACTGAGACTCCCGGGACCGTGACGGGCCGACTCTGTCGGCACGTCTACCCCACACTCAGGCAAAGGGAAACCGGCGCTGGACGTTGACGGCGGACCGCCCACTGTCCTAGATTTCGACAACATTCGGCCTCCGTTGTTGTCCCATGTGACGGGATGTGGCCTCTGTTGTCGTCCAGCGTGACGGGATGTGGCCTCTGTTGCCGTCCAGTGTGGCGGATGTGGCCTCTGTTGTCGTCCAGCGTGACGGGATGTGGCCTCTGGTGTCGTGCCGTATGCCATTCTGGAGCCCTAGCAAAGGTCGATGCTATCATGAAAGCTGATAGCCTTGAATGGAAGGGGCTGGCGGCTGCGGCAGCCGCAGCAGGCCTAATGTCCGGAAGCTCCGGCACGAACCCTGCAGCACTTTTCTCCGACGCAGGAAGCGGACTTGACACAATTATCATTCGCAGCAATGTTATGACACTTCATCCTAAGCACTTAAGCTGCCTCTCGCAATAAACGCACAATTGAACGAGGATTAGTTATATGTCTGTTACCTACCTAATAACGGGAGTGCTGGGTTCGATTCCTGGCGGCGCTCAGCCTTCCTGCCACGCTGGGAGGCAGGCGACGCCATATAGCCTCAGGTGCATCGTGTAGACGCAGTGACGACGACGGCTAAACAACAGACCGAACGTGATGACAGGAGGCTTCAATATCCCATCGATCACTAGGAGACCATTACAGCGATGTCTGTGTACTTCTAGAAACATGCGTATTAAAACGATGCCGACTCATCTAACGTAAAATTATCGTCGTGCCTCGTCCCGCAACGAGCAGTCCGTCTCCAAATGTTGTGCTGCTTGCTCTGAAAAGCACGAAACTGTCATAATTCGAAGCTATCCATTGTTTGACGCATGAATTATGTAGGCACAAGTAACAGGCCATATTCACGCTGCTCAACAAAAGCGCGATATGTGTGAACGATGAGCTGATGTGTCTCACGATAAGCAAATTTCCCCGCGCCAGTATGACAGCTCTGCCTCAAGGGCCGAAGAACGGCTCGCTTCGATAGAAGACGGCGGATATTAAGATCGCGCTGTGCCGGTTACAAAACTCAGCAGTCTTGCACGAGCTGCTGAAGTGCACTGTGTTACATGCACTAGTGTGCGCATGTAAATATCACATGATTTTGTTGACTTCAGTTTGTTGTATGATGCCCTTCATCACGCCAATTGGGTCTACTCGCCGGGATAAATGCAGTAAGCTGGCTAGCTAGAGATAACGAGGGACAGCTTATACTATGGGAGAGGGGTCTTTTTTACTTCAAGTACTCAGGTCGTTCAGTCATCCACTTACCAGCAACTCGACTGTAAGGCAGCGGCCTGCATTGATGTGTTGTCTAGCCCGCACTGGCCTGTCACACAAACGTGCGCAGGCGTATTTAGCCTTCAGAAGAGACATTCTTCAGAGTCAACACTTGCAGAGCTGCCCAGCGGTTTTTAAATGCTTTCGCGAGCCAGAGCAGGCTAATTTCTAGCAACGTAGACGTACACGTGACGTCAGTGATTTTTTAGTGGTTTATTTAGCAGCGAGCTCTGATTTCGCTGGAAACACGTCACGTGGTCAATTCTGGTACGAGAGCACCGAATCTGAACTGGGATATCAACCAGTGCATGAACTAGCGTCCGTCACAGTCCTGTCTCATAACAGTCCTGAGCCCTCTAGTTCATACTTAAAGGTTGAATTCAGGCTCAAGTGACGGAGAACTTTACACCACCCAAAAGTTAACGGCCGATTTCGAGTATTTAAGGATCAAAATATTTGCCAACTCATTACATAGCGGCCTTTAAGAAGTCCTGACCTCTTAATGTCATTTTTCAAAGTCAACTGACTGGGAACACCACATTACCCGAAAGTTACCGGCCGATGTCTGTGGCAATGAGAGACAATCACGTGAGACAGTCAATCACGAGATCAATCAATCAATCACGAGACTGGAGCAGAGTAACAATGAGAGACCAAACGATTTTTAAAACGGCGCTTGTTTATGCGCTACAGAGATTCTGATGCGTAAGAATCCCAAATTGGCTGACAAGATTTGAACGGTTTGAAATTTCTGGTCATTTGAAGTTGAAGGACAACCGTCACAGGTCATGACTCTTTGAAGAACGCTACTTCATGCGCTAATAAATGTTCTGATGCTTGTAAATCTGAAATCGGCCGGTACATTTTGGGTGATGTGGGGTTCCCCGTCATTTGAACCTGAATTCGACCTTGAAGTGAGACTTTGAGAGCTCATGACTTCTTGGCGCCCACTAGTTTATGCGCTGGGGAACATTCTAATCCTTAGGATTTTGAAATCGGCCGGTGACTTAATTGCCGATCATCTAACCTTGAATGGTGGCTTTGAAAGGTCACGATTTCTTGACGGCCGCTATTTCGTGCATTGGTGGATATGCTGATGCTCAACACGCGCCCGGGTGGCCGGTTCGATACCCTTTGCTCGGGTTGGAGGGTCGATTTGACCCCTCTGAGATCTCAGTAACTAAGAGACACCAAATTCACAGGGTGTGCTGACGTATACGTGAATTTACCTAGGTCAAAGTTTGAGATTCCTAGGTCATGACCTTCGAGTCAAGTAAGGTCAAACAAGGCCAATCTCCAGGTTGGTTTCCAAAGATTCCCTAGAACCTAGATACCTGTTCAAAGCAGAAGTTCAAGTGCGCATTTAAGGTCAGTGACCTTGCTTGACCTTTTGGCGGTCATGGTGACCAAAATTTTATAGGACCGCCTTGAGATTTCCATTTGAATAAGCGACAAAGATTTCGCTGGGTGGTATGTTTCTAAAACAAATGTTGACGTGGGTCATTCTGTGTCAGTTACCTATTCCGACCATTAAGAAGTTCATGGAAGGCGTATAATGTGGTTCCTATTATCAATGAACCTGAAATGAGCACCAGATACTATTTCATACAACAGGCCCTAGAGTAATAAAACGGGTTGGTTTTGACCTTGAAATGACTTTCATACATGACCTTAGATCAATTCGATATGTTCATTCAATTTTTTGTTGCGAAAAATAGCTCAGAAATGTTTGGCTTCGTCTAACACTCCGTTGCTGGATCAGATTGAACGATTCCATAGAAATTGTCTTCGCTGAAACCATGGCCTGACTTTCACCTGCCATAGGTCAGCGACCTTACAAAATGCATCCAAGTGTTTGATGCCAGACGATTCACTGTTTAACTGTGCACAGCTGTGCCAAATTTGGCGTGGCTATGCCAATTTTAAAACCAACACCTTTCGGAAACCATTCCGGAGAAACCTTCGGGGGGTCAATTTTACCCCCACCCGAGCGCGTGTTAATAATCTGAAATTGGCCGGTGACTTTTGGGTGATGTCGAATTCCTTATCATTCCAGCCTGAATTTGACCTTGAATGGTAACCATGAGAGATCAGTACTTCTTTTCAGAGGCTATTTTATGCGCGGAAGACAAAAATCGGCCGGTAACTTTGGGGCGATGTGGAATTCTCGGTCAATCGAATTGAAGAATGGTCTTGAGATACCAGTATTTTTACGAACGCTAGCCCATACATATGTGAATATTGTCATTTAAAAACCGAAATAGGATGATATATTTTTGGTGGTATTAATCTCCCTGTAATTTGGCGTTGGGTTCAATGTTGAGGGGGACGTGATATTGAAAAGCATACATCAGATTTTCGGTGATGGTACGCCGTAACGGGCCATGTGACGGATTTCGGCCAAAATGGAGCCCGACACTAAATAAACTGCATAATGCACAGCAAACTTCACGGATATGATGTTGACCGCCTGCCTCCTCTGTTTGCAGGACACGCGCCTGTCCTGCTGTCGGCCGGCATTCACAGCTTCCCATTCAAGCTGGGCCTGCCGCTGGGCCTGCCGTCGACTTTCCTGGGGAAGCATGGCTGGGTCCAGTTCTTTTGCAAGGCCGCTATTAAGGAGGACGGCGGGCTCGTGCACAAAAACCAGCAGGTCTTCATCGTTATGAACCCGATCGATCTGAATGTGGAGCCTCCAGTGCTGGCGGTGAGTGGGAAGAACCGGCAGACTGTTTGAGTCTCCAGTGCTGGCGGTGAGTGAGAGGAACCGACAGACTGCTGGAGCCTTAGTACTGGCGGCGAGTCAGAGGAACTGACAGACTGCTGAAGTCTCCAGTGCTGGCGGTAGGTCAGAGAAACCGACAGATTAGGTCACACTCTGCCGCCGACTGGAAGAGAGGCTGTTGTTCCTAGCAATTTGACGTGACATTGCACAGCATCACTTGTTTCACTTCTTGTGGCATGCATCCGAGACACTCCACAGACCCAACCGTAGTCATACGCTATGTGCAGACCTTCGAGATAACAGTTTAGGTTTAAAGCCATGCAGGGTTTACCCACATGCAGCACGCAGTGAGTAAATAGAACTTATGTAATTTCTCGATGATGAAGACTTCCAACCGCAAATAAGATATTCACAAGTTAAGGAAGACGAACATTTCAACCGGTGTATTGTTCGGCTTCGGCTTCAGATGTTCCGTAGTCCTCAGGCCAACGCCAGATCCGCTATGAAGTCAAAACCAGAGATCATTCCTGCAGAGGGCTGCTGACGTCTGCAAAAGACTAATGCCGTCTAGGGGCTAAGAGACAAGGTCCAGCACATGAAGAATGTAAAGCAATTTGCATCGAGGTAGATCTGCTGCACGCGGAAGCATCTGATCGGCTGTTTCGCCTCTCGTGCCTCTAGAGTCGGCCAGATGGGGGTGAGGGGCTCTCTGGCGCACCTCTGGTCGGCTGGTTCACCGCTCGTGCCTCAAGAGCCGGCCGGGCGGGGGGGGGGGGACACTGGCGCGCATCCGGGGCAGCAGCCTCCGCCGGACCGGTGAGCCGTCAGCGCCCGGCCCGGCCCGGCGCCGAAGCGTCTCATTTGCAAGTCAGATGGGCACGCCGGCCCGGGGCGAGTCCTGATTGGCCAGGCGGCCCCGGCGCTGACCCCGCGACCCCGGTCGCCGGCCGCACGCCGAATTTGTCTGCTGGCCGCGCGGCCCGCTCGGCGCCTGCCCAGTGTCGGCCAGATGCTGCTCGACTGCCGATTATCACGGCGCTAATGACGTGGTGTGCTCCTTGGGAAATGGTCAGCCTTTTGGCGCGCGTTAGACAAAAAATCAGGCCGCAAACACGGGTGAAAGGAAACGAGGACGCGTAGTGGCGATTTATTTCGAGTACCGAGGCGGGGCGGTGCGATTTTGGTAATGGCTGCGCCAAGCAGCGTTTTCGGACGGCAGCTGCTGCTAACGGAACAGCGGTCGGTTTTCGGGCGTGGACGTGAGCGACTCAATTACCCGGCCTCCCACCGACCAAATCTCAGCGGCGGCGGAAACGGCGTCCCAGTGCCCGGAGTAGAGCGCCAGCTGCGGCTTGTCCACCTGACTGCCCGTCCCCGGGCGTGGCGCTTCCATGCTGATAGCCGTGGTGGGAGTGGTGACTAATCTATTTGCTGACTATCTGAAGTGAGTGATGGGAGCTGCAACGCTTCTGCACCTCACTGAACCGCCTGCGCGCTTGCGCCTTGTCTGCACGCGGGCGCCACCAGCGCACCACACCACGTCCACGCACACCATGCCCACCATGTAGGCTGTGTGGTGTGATAGAGATGTCTGGGAGGATGTTTTTCCATCGTTCGCTGCGTCTCGTCAGGAGGGCGGTCATTATCGGGTTTGGTTAACTTTTGACGCTTCGTTAAACACCGGTGCCCGGCTGGCGGCGGCGAGTGGTGGCTTTGGGCGGCGTTCGAGAACCGAGGGTGCTGGTGGGTGGTGGCTCTGAATGGCGCTCGAGGACCAAGGGCGGTGGCGGCCGGCGGCTCTGATGTCCAGGGCGGTGATGGGCGGCGGCTCTGAGCGGTGCTGGAGGGCCGAGGGCGGTGGCGGGCGACGGCTCTGAGGTCCAGGGTGGTGGTGGGAGGCGGCTCTGAGCGGCGCTCGAGGACCGAGGGTGGTGGCGGGCGGCGGCTCTGAGATCCAGGGCGGTGATGGGCGACGGCTCTGAGCGGCTCTTGAGGACCGAGGGCGGTGATGGGCGACGGCTCTGAGCGGCGCTCGAGGACCGAGGGTGGTGGTGGGCGGCGGCTCTGAGCGGCGCTCGAGGACCGAGGGTGGTGGTGGGCGGCGGCTCTGAGATCCAGGGTGATGGCGGGCGGTGGTTCTGAGCTGCGTTCGAGGACCGAGGGCGGTGGCGGGCGGCGGCTCTGAGGTCTAGGGCGGTGATGGGCGACGGCTCTGAGCGGCGCTCGAGGACCGATGCCGGCTCGGTCCAGACACAGACAGCTGTAGCATCTCCCACGCCGTAACTGAGGATCATACACTGTGCCGGACTGGAAACTCTGGTGGAATGTGGGACCAATTGCGTACGTGCACAGCTGCCGTGTTGACTGAGTATTTCACTCGATGATGGCGGTGGTTCGATGTTTTAGGGTACGTGGGCATCAGGGCCACTTTGCACCCACACCCAACAGTTCACTCAAAGGTTCCCGATTTCCGGGCTCCTGTCCCGCGTATGAACCAGCGCAGCTCAGACTGGCAATGAATTGCTTTGAGCAACTCAATGGTGCGTTTGTGGTATTTTTAGCTGTCATCCAAATCTGGGCCGCACCGACTCTGCGCCAACAGCTGAAGGCGAAGGAACTCTGCGCTGAGCTAAATGATGGGACATTGTTCTAGACACGATTCAATTTCGGGCTGTCATTTCGATTCCGTTGGTTATGGCCTTTGCTCCGACATCTAAAAAGCGCAAATCACCTTTGAGAGATGCTATCGACATCATGGCTGGTGCTGTCAAGCGATTGGATAAACATCACTTTCCAACTTGATTTATCTCGTGATGTGATTAAAATTATCTGGTTTGCAGCTATTGAAATCGCACCCGAAAGTAAGCAGAATGCTTGATAGTGCCGGTGACGTGATCAAAGCCAGCATACGTTTTGGGATGAATTTTGTATACTGTGGATGTGAAACATTGCTGACCAATCCCTCAGACGGATCCTCCCTACAAAATATTTAGCACCACAGGTCCTACGAACGTGATCTTCCCGGACAGCCGGACTAACCCGTCAGTTAGCCGCGCTGCTGTCTTGTCCGTGCCCGCCCCCCTGGCCGGAGCCCCACTGCCTGTTGGTCAGCTGCGCTGCCGCCTCGTCCGCAGCCCTCTCCCCTGGCTGGAGCCCCGCTGCTGTCTTGTGCGCGCCTCTACCCTGACCAGAGCCCCCGCCCTCGCCCCCCCCCCCCCCCCCCCCCGGCTGGTACCCGGCTGACCGGTGCGCGCCTCCACAGCAACCTTTCCACTGCGAGATCGAGCACAAGCTGGGCCTGACGTGCGTGACGGCGGGAGCCGTGGTGTGCCGGGTGCGGCTGGACCGCGGCGGCTACGTCCCTGGAGAGACCATCGGCGTATGGGCCAGCGTCACCAACCACAGCAAGGTCACTATCAAGAAGACGGCCGCCTGTCTCAGCGAGGTACGGATCCAGCCACCCACTGCATGCAGATGAACTGTTCACATGTTAGTATTTGGCTGTCATTACTCAATGAAATTCATGTCTTTTTTTGGTGAATTCATCGTGTTGTATAATTACGTCATTGTGTGGAGTTACAGGCGATGAAGTTAGATTTTCGGGCAAAGCAGATCCGCAAAGCTAGTGCCATCTACTTTTGCATGCCGAAGTGAGCGTTGTGTCAGTTAACAAACGCTGCATTCTCTGGCTCAGGTCATGCCTGGATGATATGCTCCCAGCACTATCGCCCGGCCACTGAACAGTTCCCGTCTACTTGCGTGTTATCGAAGTCACTAATATCGTTGCACCAGCGCACTATGTCCGTTTTGAGGATGAGTTCACGGTTCAAATGCACAGATCTGATGGGTTCACCCACCGGACTCCCAGCGTCCTAGGCAGACTGCGAACGTTAGGGGAGCAGCGGCGGCCGGGAGCGACACTGCGATGTGCGGCGACAACGCTAAATCTTCAGGTCACGAGCCATATATGCAGTAAACGTCATTCTAGTCTCAACGTGCTTCGGGCATATTCTGGTCAACTATCTGGCGTCTATCAACTATCAACACACGTGCCATTGACCTGCGTTTGCAGATTCCTTCAATAACCGCCTGATCTAGGTAGAGACAGCGAACCTTAATCGAAAGATCTCGGTGGAAGCCGACGCATAGCGGTGCCGTGAGTTGAGAATGAGGCATTCATCGACCACCACTGATAGCAACACTCGTACCGTCAATCGATCTTCGGTGTACTGCGTTCCCCGGGACCATTGTCTGACGTCTGCCTCTCAGAGGCTGGTCTACTGAGAGCGAGTGGCCCCGACCACAGCGGCACGAGTCTCTCACCAGGCGCAGGTATGCGCTATTGACCTTGTCGGAGCCGGCGCAAACCCACAGAGTTTAACGTGTAGAACAGCAAGTCATGCTGACCTGAGAACACAACCACTGTGCTACGGCCGGGCTTTGTAGTCGGGTACGAAGACTGAAAATGTAGACATAAGTTTCCATGACCCATTTAAGGGCTTACCCGCCAGTCGTGACTATTTGTGCGGTCAGAAATAAAAGGTCTGAAAGTGGTGGGATTCAAGTACTTGTTCACTGACGTAAACTTGCATGATGCCATTTTTACTGGCCAGTTGTGTTATGAGACAGCAATTCTCGCATAAACTCACTGAACATCGCCATCCCGCTCGCTGGGGAGGTGTCTGGAACCTTAAGCGCTATCGTTGAGTATTATCTTTAGCTTTTGGAAATCAGGAACACATCTCGGTCTTGATGAAGCTTCCATTCAACACCACTTAACGTTGTATTGCCTGAGCTTTTTATGCCATGCGGTGTGCGGTACCATGTGAGGCTTACTGTTAGATATCGACTGAGAGAACAGATGCATCTGGAAAAGGGCACCAGCAAATCTTTAAGCACGCTATTGTTGTAGCATCGTTTCAACAGTTCCATTGTTTCAAAAATATCGTCTACGACTAATCTTAAGGCCTATTAATTCCATTGACATTGAGGTGTGAAAAGCTTGTTTAAAGCCCGCTACAGCGCGTGCGGCCATTCTGGCGAGCGGCGGCTGCTTCGGGTGGGCCCAGCCCGGCTCGTGACCAGGAGCGCCCCGGCTGTGGTGGGCGTGACCAGCCGGTGCTGGCGTCGCCCGGCCACCCCGGGCACCGAGCACCCGGTGCCGTGCCTGGGTGGCAGGTCGGCCACGCTGACCCCGGCCAGCCCCGGGCACCGGGCACCTGGTGCCGTGTCCGGGTGGCAGGTCGACCACGCTGACCCCGGCCGGCCGGGCCCGGCTGACGCCGGCCGACGGCTCTCCTGCAGCGGTTAACATTCCACGGCCAGCCGGCGCCGTGATGGATGCACCGCTCGGGACTGGCGCCGCCGTCCCGATAAAAGAGGCGCACATTAGCCCACTTACGCGGAAAACAGGGGTTAATTTAGGCGTGCACCAGCTCGCGACACGGGCAGTATGGCGCGCACGCACCGGGAGGCTGGGAGACCGGGCACACCGGGAGGTTGGGCGCACCGGAGGCTGGGTGCACCGGGAGGCTGGGCGGCTGGGAGGCTGGGTGCACCAGGAGGCCGGATGGTCGGGTGGCCAGACGGCCGAGAGGTGGGCGCGCCGGAAGGCCGGGCGGCTGGGAGGTTGGGTGCACTGCGACCCCGGGCGGCCGGAAGGCCGGGCGGCTGGGAGGTTGGGTGCACTGCGACCCCGGGCGGCCGGAAGGCCGGGCAGCTGGGAGCGATGGAGCTCTGGCCGGGCTCACCACACCGCCGCGCCGGTGTCTGATTATGTTAGTCTGCTGATCCGCTGATGATGTCGCTGTCTGATCTGATGAAAACATCGCTGTCTTTATGTGAGACAGGTGCTTTAATCTCAATAACTATGGAGGAGGTTGTGCGCGGACACGACTAACGTGATCATATGGAACAAAAGCGGACACGTTTTTTTGCGAATAGGGCTTGGAACCAGTCTGATAAATTCATCAAACTTTCCAAGATAATCTCACGGTATTGTTTCACTCTGCTGCACCAAAGTTGAGACATACTAGTTGTAGCAATCTAGGCGGGACATTCGAGTAAGCACACGTCACGACTGCTCCTCTTCTGTGTAAATGTGTCTCTGGGGAGCGTATAAAGTCACGTTGCGTTACGTTGCGTTAACGCTTGCACCTTTTCAGCACCTATTCAGTGCACGTTTCGAGTTGCTCTCCGTTGACAACATGACCGTAATGCTGTTGGGTGTGAGGATGTGCGTGCGCCGTGCACAAGCACATTCGGACATGTCCCTTCCGGCATAGTCCGCGCTCCGTCTCTGATTGCTTTGTTTTGCTAAAGGGCACAAATTTCCCTGGAGCTAGAAGTCCGTGGACTTAGTTTTGGGAAGGACTATGGCACTTACTCCGCACTATCAGTATACCGGACGCGTCCGGCGTCCTACTCTCCGAAAGCTTCACGTATATGTCACGTGACGCCGCGTCATGAGTCGCGTGTCCTCTGATATGGCTGAAACATGTGCTTGAATGTTAAACCACTATTTGTTTGTGATCTGGTGAGGCATTTCACAATTACCACTAATTTTCTCCCAAGCTCTGATCATTCCTGTATTGAAAACACACGCACAAACCTTGGTTTACGTGCAGTTTTGCGTTTTGACCTGTCCAGTAAAAGTTTCTGTCCGCCTTGTATGCCACATAACTAAATAACTATGCGCTGAACCATGGATGAAATATAATCCAGCTCTGTATGGAATCAACTGTTTCGTGGAAAACTGCAATGATAGGAACACTATGCGACTCATGGTGAAGGACACATTCGCGTCAACGGTCCTACACAACTGCAGCCATGTTTAAATGGACACCCACCTACACTGCAGCTGAGCTAGCCCGATGAAGCCGGCCGGGTGCGGCGAGTGAGTGACGGGCACGTGCCGGGCCGGTGCCCTCTGCCGAGCCCTCTGGTGGCAGCCGGGTCAAGCTCGCGCTGAGCGGCCACCGCCAGCCGCATACTGAACAGCTGAGACTCCGCGTCGCCCATGCATTACTTATGAGCGGCCGGCCAGCGGACCTCCCCGGCCGGAAAATATGGCGCTTGGGTTACAGAGCATGTGTTTGAAGCCCGTTTAACAGTATGTAGGCTCTCGTAAGTCAGTGTTGATGCATGTGCTTACTTAGCGGTGATTTGTCTTACCACACGAACACGTAAAACCTGACTACATTTCCTCGAATTCTGTTTTGTCGGCGGTAGGACGTCCCTTTGCCTGCCATCAGCATGGTCTGCTAGTGAAAGATGATAGAAATAGACGACTCAGACCCGGCGGGCACGCATTCTCGTCACGTCGGCGAACTGCCGATATCTATCCCGTCGATTACTCTTTAGTCAGAGATGGGGCTCAAAGAAGTTGACAGGGAGGCTAGGAGATACCTGGGCTCGTTTACATGCATTTTACAGCGTATCACCATTGGTCGTATCTAGAACTCTGATGTTGGCAGCTGGGACTAAATCTGATGAAAGTTGGTTCATTTCTACCCTACATTGAGAGTCATTCAGGCTCATAGGTATGCAGACCTATGTTAGTTTCGCCCCAGGGAGTTTACTGTCTTGCACCCCCAGACAACGAGCACTGAATGCCTCTAAGTTGAAGGGAGCGGAGCGGAGGTGGTTTACAAACCTGACGTCTTTCCCGATGCGCGCGTCTCTTCCCAAGGGTCTTCTTGCGGCATGCGCTCGGATGAAAATGGACGTGTTAACTAACGAGGGCACTTTGTGTTCCACATGTTCCGCATATGTTCCGAGGCGCATGTGTTCCGTTTCCAGACCATACACTACTTGTCACGGAGCAAGATCGTCAACACCGAGAGGAGAGAGCTGTCAAGGGTAACGCGCGGCAAGATTCGCGCCGGCGAAACGGACGACTGGAACAACGAGCAGTTGTTCGTGCCGCCCCTGCCTCCCACTAATCTCCGCGGGTGCCATCTCATTAAGATCCAGTATGACGTCTTCGTAAGTATGTGGCGAGATCCAGACAGCGTATGAGCAATCCACATTTCGGGGTTATATGATACAAACATTTCCCGACATCACGCAAACCAACCAGCATGTCCGCAGTTCTGACTGATTTACACCATTACATATTTCAAAGTTTATTTGTTGTCTTTACACCCCACCTGAGATGGTTTTTAGATATGTATAAGTGTGACAGGTGGTTAGTTGCATATCAGAGCCATGATTAGTGGCCAAACGGAGCCCCAAGGGCTATTTCGTCTTTGGTTTAGAATCATCTTACGTCGTAAAAATCAGCAGAAAGGATCCAGAACAGAAGAAATAGCTTAAGATCATGCCGCTTTTTTGTTTTTTTTATGAAAATCAGACAAGTGCCGTGAAAACAAAAGTCGGTGACAGCATTTATTTTAGGATATACCCAGGGCTGTTCCCGATGAGTCATCACGGAACAGAACGAAGCGTGCTAGCATGCCTATAATAATGCCATGATTGGAGTTGCACGTCTCAACCGCCAGAACCATTTCAACACAAAAGCCTTGATTATGTGTCACGTGAGACGCAGTAGTGGCGTGACTGGAACTTGAACCCAGCATCGACGGGTACAGAGCTGAGCCCTGTGACCACTACACCACCACCACCGCCTCAGTCCTCACGTGCTCGAGGGGCGCTATGCCCTCCGGGCATTTCCTGGCCGAACCCGCTGCCGACCGGAAGTGCGGTTTGGCTTACAGCAGGCTTGCTCGCTTTCCCTTTCCTCTCCCTGCAGCTGGCCACGTCTCTCCAGACATTCTTTTTTCCATATCTCCATCTCCTTTGATTTTCCTCTGCTGTCCTCGTTTTTCATCTTTTGTGTCTTTGTCACAGTTTGCACACTTTCCATTTTGTATGGTCCTTTTGTTTGCCTCTGACTACAGGGACGCGCACTGTGCTCATTACGCTCCATCCACTCGGGCATGCTGCGGTACGTCCGCGTACTGGTGAAATCTCTGCGTGTTCATTTGAATTCAGCGTGCGCTTGGACGACGCGGCCAAAAAGGGTTGCTGAAAGGTGCACACCGCTTGGAACGCGTCCAGCTTTCGAAGCGCCCTACCGCCACGTCACATGCTGGCGTGCGTGAAATTATGACGGTGCCTTTTTAGAGCGCAGTACTTTCTCATCAAGACTGCCATGTCGTGGGCTTTGAAAGCCAAAACTATGATGAGTACGACAGTGACTACTCCCTTTCGTAGGCATGTACACCATATGCTATATATATATATATATATATATATATATATATATATATATATATATATATATATATATATATGCTTAGACGTATGTATTTGCCAATATCATTTAGAAAAGAGCACGTCACTGCACATTTGCAGCCTGAAATGTGACTCACCCATGTTCGACTAACCCACCCGAGCGTCATGACTCACCCAAGTCTCAGCCCCAGCAAAATGACTGCAGTGTTTGCGCATGTGACCCGCATCGCTGATGGGTGCACACGCCCGCTGCCCCACGAAAAGTCTGTGTGTTGGAAGAGCATGAACATCGCTGCACCGACCTACACGTTCCGTCCTGTGAAAACACGTGCTGCACAGCGGCGCACTACACCCGTACGCACCCCGGTGAATCGCCGTAACTTCCAGCCCACTTATGGTAACCGTCCTATTTGCACGGCGCTCGTAAACAAGCGCAACGGGCCGGTGATCACAGGTCTTGCAAATGACGTTGGGCACTAGCTCAAACTGTGCCACCGCACCCCGCGTCCCCTCGGGGCGGAATCCTGGTTGAGGAGCCGACTTCGTGGGAACCGATGCGACTGGGCTTGCCGGATCCTCACCCTGTGGCCTACCTGAAGGAGCCTACCCATGGAAACGGGCTCGAGGGTCTGGCTCGTTCCAGGCCGATCGTGGCCTTAGGGCGGATCACCTCGTCACTGGGCAGGAAAGCGTGATATCCAGCTAGTCGGCCGCCGTGAACGTGCATGCCCATGTTGGAAAATAACGCTATCTACGTGACCATCGGCGTGACGAACCGCAAACCAGGCGACGACCATCTGAGAACCCCTGTTCAGCAGACGTGTCTGGGCACTGGGAGACCGCCGGACGGCTAGACCGTTAGACGGGTCCGGTCCTGGGAGGACTGCCCGCCCGCAGTGTCTGCTAACGTGTCCAGCTCCGAGCAGACGGTCCGAGGCACGGCGCCTCTCGAATGTGTCCGGGCCCGGGCACGCGCCAGCCGTGTGGACCGGCCGGAATCCGCCGGGGGCGGCGGCCGTCGCGGCCGTCAGCAGGCGGTCGCAGCGGTGGGGTGTGGGCCGGGGAAGGCCGCTAACGGGCGCACACAGTCGTAAACGGCGAACGACACACGCCGCGTGCCCACCGCCCCGAGCCGCGCCGGCACGCCGACCGCCCAGGAATGCGGCCGCCGCAGGACCGCGGGGCCTGCGCCGCGGGCGCCCCGTCCGAAGCGTGGTGGGCATGTCGCTCTGGCGGCACCCGAAACAGGTCGCTTCTGGCGGCTCGGGGCAGGTCGCTCCTGACGGCTCGGAGCAGGTCGCTCTGTACGGCTCGGGGCAGGTCGCTCCAAACGGTCTGAGCAGGTCGTTCCTGGCAGCTCGGGGCAGGTCGTCCCTGGCGGCTCGGGCCAGGTCGCTCCAGACGGCTCGGAGCAGGTCGCTCCGTACAGCTCGGGGCATGCCGCTCCAAACGGTCTGAGCAGGTCGTTCCTGGCAGCTTGGGGCAGGTCGCTCCGGACGGTCTGAGGCAGGTCGCTCCGGACGGATCGGGGCAGGGCCGCTGCGTTGAAGCGATGCATTGACAGGGTTGGCTGGACCGGCGGCGGATGAGGGCTTACACGGCGCTGTAGGCGTAGCGGCTTGGGAAAAACACTTGCTCGAGGCCGTTTCATCACGCATCGCGTGCAAGGCCGATTAAAAAAAATACGCCACAAAAGACGAAGACACCAAAGGCTCCCTAGATTTCTGTCACGCAAATACATTCATCAGTGACACGTCTGTCATGCCACACGTGTTTGGCGTGGTTTATCGGTATCACCGCGAATTGACGTGAAAGTGCGACACCGAAGTTTTCTAGGTTGTTTCAGTGTTATGAGCTACGTCGAAATGAACGATCTGGAATATACTGGTTAAATGACGCTGATCAGCTGGGTTTTATAGCGCGTCAACTGCGTAGTCATATGGAACCCAATGAATAAACGACGTTGTACAGCATTGATTGGTATACGCATTGGTATACGAGGGCACGTTTCAAAGCAGTGCTCATGGTCGTGGCTGAACAAGGTTAAGTGAAACTGAAAGTTGGAATTCATATGGAACGTAAAAGATAGAAATATTGGGAACCTGTGCATGCTTTGACAACGAAGCGATGTCAAAACAATCAGTCACAAAGATCACAAAGCATATCGCGCGTCCCATATCACAAATCACACAAACACACAAATGCAAAACAAATCAAAAGAAACCAAGGATGTTCGTCCCAATGGCTCAGTTGGTTAGAGCGCCTGCCTGGTGATCCACCCACACGTGGCGGGGGTGGGCCTGAGTCGCTATAGGCATTCGCTATTTGCCCTTAACAGGCATGGCCTGCGACCGATAGCAGCGACCAGTATTAGGTTAGACGACGTTAGGGGACAGGACGGACCGTGCCGAGCATTACGAAACGTTATATTTTGACACCAAACTCTGCCGTTGGCCTGGAATTGCGCGATCGGATGATAGGGGTCAGGGCTCACACAAGCACTGCTTAGCGTGGGCTTTAATCCCAGAAATCCATCCATTCAAAAGGTTCGGATTAAGCGTTAAAAATCTGTCTATCTCCCACATACTAACACCATGTGCACGGTACTGCCCTGCAAACTGCGCACTATACAGGTTGCTATGGCCAAGAACCTTACCATTCGCCCTGATTCACCTTTTCATAACGCAGACTGATAGATGGTTGAAGGTTGATGCGTCCCGCTGGCGTTTCCGAACTAACACGATGGAGCTTAGCGTGTTTTTGTGTCGCAATAGATGGACAATAGGCTATTGAAAATTTGGCCGCATTGCACAACACCCCGGGAGGTCACCCCCCCCCCCAAACAAGGGTTAATGGCCCCGACCCAACAACGCAACCCAACCAATCAGGGCGAGTGATAATGAGCTCAACCGAATGCGAGGTCATCGGTGCCGTCCTTGCCGCGTGGATACTTGTTTCGGGGAGCCCTTAGCATGGCGCCGGGTATGGGTTGTAAGAGTCTGGCGCCAGGCCAACTGCAATGCTATTTTTGGTGGGGGGGGGGGGAAAGAGAGAGAGAACTGCCGATCTAACCTTATACACAGTTTGAGCGCATCTGTGAAGTTGGATGCTGATTAGAGCTTAGAGTCTTCTGGATCGTGTCATTCTCTATATTTCACGCGCCTTTGTTTTTTAATCAAAGTTAGTACTCACGTCCGTGACTGTGACCAGCCTTCAACCGCTGAGTTTTCCCATGATGCATACAAAATAGTGCTTGTTTACACCGTTCAAGCACCCACTGGGATATTGAAGATGCCATTTTGAATAAATAGGTTGTAATGGAATGATACCGCCCGCCAGAATATATTTTCGAGTGCTTTGAGTACTGTATTTGGGCATTGTTTTACATTATATACGAGAAGCATGTCTGTGAATCTGGCCGGCCACAAAAATGAAAAGGCAAAGCTCGGTATCAATTCATGTCGAGTTATTGACGTTGTAACATACCGCACGACAACCGACTACCGCAGCGACCGCTCGGTGCGTGCTGTCCTGACCACCCACGCCTCTCACTGCAGTTCATCATCAAGCCGGACAACCTGGAGAAGGAGATCAAGCTGCAGCTGCCGATCATGATCGCCTCCTACCCTTATCGCAACGCGGACGGCACCCTGAGGAGGAAGCGGGGCGCTGAGTACCCGGCTAGTCTGCCCGTCTTCCGGCCCTGGCTCGACGTCAAGCAGAAGGTGCTCGTCTAGCGCCGCGCCCTACCTGGCGCCCGCTCTCGTTGGTCGTGATGCTGGACGGTGTGCCACGTGACCGCCGCCTGAGAGCCGCCAGGAGCCTGGGAAGCTACCCCGCTCATGTGGTGCTGGCCGGTGGCAGCGCCGCGCTTCGGCGCCCGTGGCGATGCGCCACCGGCGTCACGTGACAGGCCCGATGTGAGAGGCGGCGGCAGCGGCCGGGACGGGAGCCAGGGCCCGCCGGGATTGATCACCGACGCGGCCGCACCGCCGTGCCAGTAATTGTCGGCGAACCCGATCGTAACATCGGCTCATTATTTTAAATCCTGCGTGATGAATCGCGTGCTTAACGGAGAGATTCCAGTGGCGGGCCGGATCTCTTCACACCAGCTGATGGCGGCTGAGCGGCCACCAGCTGAGTGCTGGTGCACAGGGGCGACCGGCCCCCGTGGATGGCGAGTGCTGGTACACAGGGGGTGACCCCCGTCCCCCGTGGATGGCGAAGCTGCGTGGCGACGGCCGGTCCCACCGATGGCCGACTGTGCGGACGCCACCCAGTGATATGCGTCTTTGTTGCGATGTGACGGATGTGACGGTCAGGTGTCGCTGGCCACCCCCTGGCCGTGACACGCGCGCCGTGCCCTCGCCACCGCGGTTTGCGGACACCGCCAATTGGTCTTGGTCGGGTCGGGCCTCTAGGTGAGATGGACATAGCTTTCGAATAATTACTTGCGTTGTTACGAAGCGTACGGCCCAGCAGTTCTGTAACGGCCCGCGCATAATCACGACGTTTGCGTCCCACTTGACTTCGGAGGCTGATGGCAGTTTCTGTAATGATGCTGCCACAAATCAAGGCAATCTTAGTTTATGTGCCCAAAGTTGACAGATCGTTAGCCAGCATTCCTGTAAAGTGATGATAAGAACTTGTTTATATATGTACGCGTCGCGGCGTTGCTATGCGATGACGGGCATAGAACTCGTCTAACGACTCACGAGACTTTCCGCGTAAATCTGCGTCGTTCCGCGTTCCAAACTCGTGTTATCAGTTCGTATATCATTAACCACAGTATCGGCAATAACACATAACACAAATATGAAATGCGCTGTGTGGTCAAATGACACGACGGCGAGGTTACGAGAGTGCCGCGGGTACAGAGCGTCGATCCGCATCACCGCGATTCACCGCATCACCGATGACCGCACCACCGAGATCTGATCCCCAACGCTTAGCCTGGCGACCTCCACTCTCCTATCCGAGCCCGACCCCACTCCGGTTTGGCCGCGCCGGACTCGCCTGCCTAGCTCCACAACAATGACACATGAAGGACATGTCTGCGGGCTTCAGCCGCTCCCAGTAATCGCATGAGTGCAGTACACCATAACGCCTGACGACTACAGCCGGGTCCAACACCTGGCTGCTGCAGCGGTCTGACAACTACAGTCAAGCACCACATCTGGCGGGTACGGTCTGACACCACGTCTGACAGGCACGGTCTGGCACCGCATCTGACGAGCATGGTCTGACACCACGTCTGACAGACACGGTCTGACACCGCATCTGTCAGGCACGGTCTGACACCGCATCTGACGGTCACGGTCTGACACCGCATCTGTCAGGCACGGTCTGACACCGCATCTGACGGTCACGGTCTGACACCGCATATGACGGGCATGGTCTGACATCACGTCTGACAGGCGCGGTCTGGCACCATATCAGGCACAGGCACGTTTGAGCAGCATGGTGGCATTAGTGGGTCACGTCTGGAGGTCGGCCGAGTAACACAGCGTATAAAAACGCGCATGAACGCTACAGTCAGTTACCACGGGGCAGTGCTGCATCTGAAGACTTGTCTAGTGTCACGTCCGGTGCCCCAGCCCAGTCAGGTGTGGTGCTACAGTTAAACGTCACGTCTGATGTTAAGCTCAGCGTCACATCCAAGCACTGGTTTCTTTGCGCATCGGGAGACATGGCAGCGGACGTGGTAGGTTTCCACCCCTGCTGGCTTCAATCACAGCGGAACGCCGGCGTCACGTGAAGACCACCCGAGCCTCACATCTGATCGCTACCGTCCGCGACGCCAGCAGCGCCGCCGTCTCTGGGCCCACCGCCGGGCGCCAGCAGCGCCGCCGCCCCCCGGCCCACCGCGGAGTGTCGGCACCAGCGGCGGCCGCTCGCGTGGCAGCCTCACTCCTCGAGGAAGGTGGCGAACACGGCCCATACAGTTGGCGGTGGAGGTGGCCGCCTCGGCCTCCAGGTCCAGGTGCGCCGGCTGGTCCTCATACGTCACGGCCACCTGGCGGTCACGAAGGCAACTGTGAGTACGCTGAGTGGCACACCAGTAATGGGCTTCGCAGACTTGGGGACCTTAATCACATTAGCAGTCATGTGCTTTAGGCCAGTGACAGAAGCCCATCAAGACACGGTATATTATTTGATTGAATACGTGCTGTGCAAACAGTTTGTTCAAATATTTGTGTGATGTTTCTAAAGCTATATTGCGAATATGCCACGAAATTTGCCTACATGATCGGGCCAAATAACTGATATTGCATTCATGTACTCGACATTCAATGCGGAATTCAGTCTTTAATTCTTTAAAAACTGCATGATCAAATCAAACCCGAGCACGCATAAGTACGCACATACACGCGCCGAACGGTATCAACGAAGCTTTCGAACACCAACTATCATAGTTTCCGGTTGTTCTAAAACTATTCTGACCTGTTTGTCCAAAATGTGAGGCATGCGTGCAGCAAACCAAAGCTAACGTAATTGCTTTGATGCAGTCTGAGAATAGCTACTACTGACATTGCAGGGCACCATTTGTGAACGCCTCTCCCGCGACCTACCCACGACCCGTGGAAGCTTAAAGGAGGACGTCACTGTCCAGCGGCCAGGTTGGAATCCGAACTGCGATAAGGTTTCTTTGCCGCTCTCGAATCAACAAATTAGGGACCCCGCCCAGGCAAGAGGACCTGTAGTTGTCCGGATCGTCAGCAAAACCTTCCGCTTGAGGTCAGACGCGTGTCCCATCAGCAGAGGCAGAGAGTGGCGGCCGAAGGCAGACTGGGCCTGCTTCGAAGTCGCCATCCGAGGGCGACGAGAAGGCACTCTCCAGAGCATCGGAGGCGTGCGACGGCATAATCAGCGCCACACCCGCCTGCCCAAGTGCTGGGCGTCGCTGGCCCACCTGCTGCGTACGGCGTCCTACGTCTGGAGCGCCACAGCGATCGGTCCGCGGTCGGTCAGCGATCGGTCAGCGGTTGGGCAGCGGTCGGTCAACGGTCGGTCGGCGGTCGGTCGGCAGTCGGTCAGCGGTTGGCCAGCGGTTGGTCAGCGGTCGGTCAGCGGTCGGTCCGCGGTCGGTCAGCGGATTGTCAGAGGTCGGTCAGCGGTCGGTCAGCGGTCGGTCAGACGTCGGCCAGCGGTCTGTCAGCGGTTGGTCAGTGGTCGGTCACCGGTCGATCAGCGGTCGGTCGGCATTCGGTCAGTGGTAGGCCAGCGGCCGCCCAGCCAGGGAACGGCACGGCACCATCACCAGGGGAAGCCCGCCACTGCCAACGCACACTTGTGGCAGCCGTCGCCAACAGATACCACGAAGGAGGGAGTAACGTCACATGATGACGTCACATGATCAACAGAAGTAACGTCACATGATGCGTGACTTGCGGCAGGCAAATAATACACTACAGTATCCGTTAATTTATCGGCGGACGTGGCCAGCATATGGTATAACATATAATACATTATGGTACACCACAATTATACTGCACACACACACACACAAAAATAAATAAATAACTATACACACACACATATATATATATATATATATATATATATATATATATATATATATATATATATATATATATATACAAATAAACACAACACAGTGAATACAATCATCCGTTCTGTTGAATGGTGCACTGGTTCCAAGCTCGTTTTCTGAGCTCTCCAGCATCGTAGCCATCCTGTGCAGCTGTTTGATGCGCACTATTGCCACTCTCCCAACGCGGAGCGATGGCTCTCCAAGGAAGATCGCACCCCACGAACACTGTAGACAAACTGCTGGTAGGGGCGGGCGGGAGGAGGGGAGGGGCGGTGTGCTGGCCTTCCTCACCAGGCGCAGCTTGGCCTGGCTGTCTGTCACCGAGCGCGTGATCATGTTGAATAGCAAAACAGAAATAGCTCCGTTCCTTGGTGGCTAGCATGCCCTTTTTCACAGGTTCTTCGCCGGCCGTTCGCACACGTGAAGCTGGCAGTACAGCTTCAGCGGGTTCCAGGTCTCGTTTGCGACAAGCGGGTCTTCATGCTGTCTCGGATCGGTTTCATTCGTTTCGTTCTTATTCCTCCATCATAGTATATGTTGGCGACGGCTGCCACAAGTGTGCGTTGGCAGTCTGCGGCGGGCTTCCTCTGGTGGCGGCGCCGCGCGTCCACTGGCCGGGCGACTGCTGGCCGACTGCTGACCGACTGCTGACCGACCGCTGACCAGCCGCTGGCCAACCGCTGACCGACCTCTGACCATACGCTGATAGACCGCTGACCGACGTCTGACCATCCGCTGACCGACCGCTGACCGGTCGCTGGCCAACCGCTGACCGGTCACTGGCCGACCGCTGACCGATCGCCGTGGCGCTCCAGACGTAGGGCGCCGTACTCAGCAGGTGGGCCAACGACCCCCAGCACTTGGGCAGGCGGGTGCTAGCGCTGATTATGCCTTTGTACGCCTCCCATGCGCTGGAGAGCGCCTTCTCGTCGCCCTCGGATGGCGACTTCGAAGTAGGCCCAGTCTGCCTTCGGCCGCCACTCTCTGCCTCTGCTACTGGGACACGCGTCTGACCTCAAGCGGAAGGTTTTGCTGACGACCCGAACAACTACAGGTCCTCTTGCTTGGGCGGGGTCCCTAATTTGTCGGTTCGAGAGCGGCAAAGAAACCTTATCGCAGTTCGGATTCCAACCTGGCCGCTGGACAGTGACGTCCTCCTTTAAGCTTCAAGGTAGGTCGCGGGAGGGGCGTTCACAAATAGTGTGTGTCCTGCTATGTCAGAAGTAGCTATTCTCAGACTGCGTCAAAGCAAATACGTTAGCTTTGGTTTGCTGCACGCATGCCTCACACTTTGGACAAACAGATCAAAACAGTTTTAGAAGAACTGGAAACTATAATATTTGGTGCTAGAAAGCTTCGTTGATGCTGTTCGGCGTGCTTATGTGCGTACTTATGTGCTGTGCTTATGCTCGGGGCTGACTTGATTCAATAGTTTTGTTTGCTTAGTCGGCACTGAATGCCGAATTCTATTCCGCATTAAGCGCCCACTAAATGATTGAAATATAGCATTCATTTGGGAAAATTATGCAGGCAAGTTTTGTGGCATATTTACAGCATATTTTTAGGAGCATAGGAACTTTTTTAGGAACTTAGGAAGTTTTCCAAGTGGGCGAAGCCCGTCACTGGCGTGTCGCTCAGCGTACTCACAGTTGCGCCCGTGACCGCCAGGTGGCCGTGATATGTCGGGACCAGTCGATCCACCTGAACCTGGAGGCCGAGGCAGCCACCTCCACCGCCAACAGCATGAGCCGTATTCACCGCCTTCCTCGAGTGAGGCTGACGCGCGAGCCTCCGTCGCTGGTACCGACACTCCGCGGTGCGCCGGGGAACGGTGGCGCTGCTGTCGACCGGCGGTAGGCGGCGGCGCTGCTGTTGACCGGCGGTGGGCCGGGTGGATGGCGCTGCTGGCGGCTGGCGGTGGGCCGGGAGACGGTGGCGCTGCTGGAGGCCGGCGGTGGGCCGGGAGACGGCGGTGCTGCTGGAGGCCGGCGGTGGGCTGGGAGACGGCGGTGGTGCTGGCGTCACGGACGATAGTGGTCAGATGTGAGGCTCGGCTGGTCTTGATGTAGCGCCGGCGTTCTGCTGTGATACTCGAAGATTAGCAGTGGTGCACCACAATCAACAGGCGTCTAACATGGCAACAGATTCAGATTAACAAGCAGATAAAGATTCGCCCGACAGCAGGCTTCATTCACCTGAAAATGTGCCTGCAGATCTCGACGTGCTATTCTCGGATCGCATTGAGTTCAGAAAACACTTAACTTCC